TGAACACACCCTCCAATAATTGGATTAAAAAGGTGTACGATCCCCGTTGCAACTGGCCAAAGGAATTTTGTAGCCACCTCCGCAGCAGCAGAAACTACAGTATGCCGACAGCTTACATGGTGAGTACAATACAAGATAACAAGAGTGATCGAGGTCTCAAACTTCATATCATACCAGGCACAAACGCATGGCTGTTGTTTTGCTAGCCGAGGCAGCGGGCCGACGTCGACGGTATTGATCTCGTCCTGATCCGCGGGAATTCCCCGCACGCGGCCGCTCACCGACGGCATGAAAGTACCAAGGCGGATGAACATTAACGTCGGCTCTGCTCACGGCGAGAAAATAGCCAAGTGAGAGCAAGTATAATAGTAGGCTATAAACAAACTAAATGCTGAGGTGAAGAAGAGAAGAAAGGAGAGAAAGGAGAAGCGGGCTGTAAACTTAGCCGGCTTTGACACAAGAACCAACAAACTCTGTGAGAGAGATAAGTGTGTCCTATATTAATTATAAAGGACGCAGATTTAGTGACATTCCCCCGTGACATTCTCGGTGACATTGAGTCACTGACATGTGGGACCCACATGTGCCTGGACCCACGTGAGTCCCACACGCCAGTGACTCAATGTCACAGGGAATGTCACCGGAGCAATGTCACCGAATTCCAATCCAATTGTAAAGAGCTAACTATTATATGGGTGTGCTGAGAGGAGGCTGCAAAGAAACTTATAGCTAATAAGTTGGCTGTATTATTAGCCTAGCTCTGAACAGGTGGCGCGAGCCAGAAGCGCTTTTCTGATTTTTGTACCAGCAGGCAGCAGCAGCGAGCTTGGCGGCGCGCGCTCGTACTGATCCATGCATAGCGCGCGCGGCAGCTGGTACACAGCCACACCACAGGCAGGGCTAGCTAGGGACAGTTCAACTTGGCTGGGCGATAGGAGAGCGATCGGTAGCTAGCGTGCATCACTAGAGGTTGATCGATGCGCGCGATACACACACAACACACGACCGGCCGGGGGATAGATTTCGATTAATTCGGTCGACCACGATCACAATGACCCTTGCTCGGGCCGGCGGGCGGCGGTGAATATTCCGCATCCTCATATTACTCGCTTTAGTCCACCGTCCGGTCGCGCCACCCACGTGACCGAGATTCCCCCGCCCAGCGACTTGTGCAAACTCCATCCTCGATCGCTCCTAGTTGGGTATGTTGCACCGGATAACGTCTCAACTAGAGCTGAGTGAAAGTTCTTATGATGGAGAGATAATGTACAACAGTACAAGGAACGTGGAAAAATGGACGACGTACGTATTGACCGAGCCTCGTGGACGGACAAGGCGGAGTGAATGTAAACTAATACTGTAGTAGTACTTAGTATACTCCATCCCAATTTGGGTATTTAGTAGCAATGACTTATTGACTTAAATACTAATTAATCAATCGTATCCTAGTACTATCCTTATTCCCGATATTTCATATTACAAGATACATATGTGTTCATCCAAATAACTAATACCCCCCCCCCCCCCCTCTCCCCTAAATTCATTCTTCTAAAAAAGAAAACCTCTACCATTAAGATATATATCTAATTTCATTGAAAATATGCATGGTATTTATTAAGATAATTCATACGAGTAGATAATTATAATTCTTTATTGTTCTTTGCCTTTTGTGGTGGTCGTGACTTATATTTTAGAATGGAATGAGTAGTTTTAAATATACGACAAGTTTGATTTTTTAAATTCGTTTGCCTATTCTTCTTGAGCAAATAGAGTACATATTAGAGACGTGGATTTTCATCTCTCGAGAGAATATCCCCTTCTTTTGTGCATATGATCTAATTTATTAATAGTATTTTTTGAGAGAATCTATTTTATACCACTGAGTTTGTCATAGTTCAACAATTTACCATTAATTTTCTCTCTTTCTATATTATACTGACGACTTTATCAATTTTTCTACAATACAACATTGGGTTGGGCTTATTTTTCAATAATACCAAAAATATCCTTATGGACATATAAGTATAACAATTGATTTATATCATTACAAGTTTTTTTAAAAAAGAAAACTTTTATGTGGCCTTCTTACAGTATAAAAGTTTGTATATGAGTTTCATTTTTTTTTCATTTCTATTTTTTAAATATAACTTATTTGTTATATGCTATATAAAATATTTTTGTGTTGTTGGTTTTAATGTAAATTATCTTTCATATGCAACATAAGATATTTTTTGCTATTTTCTTTTGTATAAGCTATTTCTCTCTGATATACCACACAAAAATATTTTTTTCCAAACAACAAAAATACCATAAACAAATTGAAACTGATGTACATACTTCTCTGTTGTGTAAGGAGGCCATATAAAATATTTTATTTTTTTTGAAACTTTATAATGAGATAAACTAATTGTTAACCATGTATCATGTCCAGATATATAGCCAGAGTTTGTCTTTTTTGGGACGGAGGGAGTATGTCTCTAAGGGTATTTTGGGTATTTTTTTAAAAAAAGAGGCTCATCCCAATGGTATATTGTAGAACAATTGATAAAGTCATCGGTATATTGAATAAAGAGACAATGTCAATATCAAATCATTGAACTGTGATAAACTCAGTGGCATAGAATATATTCTCTCTGTTTTTTTAAACAAGAAATGATACATAGATATGTGGGGAAAATGATTCTAAACTCTTGAAGGGATATTTTCTTGTTGTTTACATATCATATTTAAATGGTTATGAAAAATAACAACATAAATTAATATATGATAGATTACTCCACAAACATGTAACACTAAGTTTAACTTGTATAAGTTGAAAAAGAGCAATAAATTTGGCAGTGCCTATAAATTAACTAACTAACTATAGTTTTTTTTAGTTTGGCAGTGCCTAAAGAACAATAAATTTGAAAAAGAAGTCAAATTTTAACTTGCAATCTTTGTACAATGATATATCATATATTAATCTATCTTATCAGTTTTTTTTAAAAAAATCATAACTACTTTTATGGCATGCGAACAACAAAAGGATATCCCCTGATTGAAGAGTTTAAGTCTATATACTACCTCCGTCCCATAATAGATGTCGCTTTGACTTTTTGTTTCCAACGTTTGACAATTCGTTTTTATTTGAAAAATTAGTGCAAATATAAAAAAGATAAGTCATAATGTCGACGGGGGATACCCGTAGATCGGATATAGAGGGTATTGGGGTCCGTTGGTATGAGGATCTACGTAATACGATATCAGGCAAACAAAAGACAAGGAGTATACTGGTTCAGGCCCCTTGGTAGGTACTAGCCTTAATCCAGTTGGTATGGGATTATATGATGGGAACCACATATTACAAAGGGAATAGCAGAACTCAATGATACTGATGAGACCGTAGTCGAGTTGGTCCAACTAAATCTCCCGGCGACTTGGCTCCTGCAAGCTCCGGCTCCGTAGGCTGTAGTGGATATGTTAGCGGTGATATTTGATGCCTTAAGTCCTGCCCAGGGGGTCCCTTATATACCGCGGGTCAGTTGATCTCCAAGTAGGACTCAGAGATATCAGACCCCTCACAATATGGTAAAGACCCAACATTGTCCGAGTAGAACTCTCTCTATCCGTAGATACCATCTCTATCACGTGATAGATTTCCTTAATGTATATGGAAACTATCCGTATACGTGAGGGTATATCGTGTCGGTATACAACGTACATCTAAGAATAAAGGGTATACCTTATCCGTAACCCTGACACATAGTTAAAGTATTTTTAACTTTTAATAGTAAAGCAAGTCACAAACAAAATAAATAATAATTCCAAATTTTTTTAATAGGACGAATGATCAAAAATTACAAACAAAAACTCAAAACGACAAGAAACATGGGACGGATGTAGTATGTGATATATCATTGCATAAACATGTAAGTTCAAATTTAACTTGCATAGGTAGAAAAAAATGACTATTAATTTTTTTTTATGTCGTGTAAGTCCCGTTTGAATTTGTATGTGTGGATTGCTACATCTAATATTAATCTATCCTATAAAAATATCAGATTTTTTATGACTTTTTGGGTGACATGTAAAACTAGGAGACGTTACTTCGAGAGATAAATAGACTCTCTCACATATTGGACACGCTTGAAGTACTTTTAGTAAATAATACACAAGTAAATAAGTATATATTATTAGTCACAGTTAAAGGAAAAAAAGTCAATTGTATTTATATATTAGAAAACAGATGTAGTATTTTTATATCTATCACATACTTTAACATAGAGAACACGCAAATAATTAAGCTTATCTTATCTTATTTTAGTACTATAGCTTATAAGTTACGTGTATGATGACGACAGAAAACGTAAACCATTTTTTCATTAGAAAAAGAACAAACATATAACCTTTTATCTTTCCTACCAGGATTAGACATTCATGTTAATTTGCTCTCCCCGGTAACACTTCATTCTTGAAGATGCTGTTAACTGGTACTCCGTTTCATATTATTATAAGCCGTTTGATTTTTTTCTAATCAAACTTCTTTAAATTTAATTAAATTTATAGAAAAATATAATAGTATTTTTGAAAAAAAAATATATTTAATGAAACTAATTCAATCGATCTTTTATATGTTGCCAAATTTTTTCTATAAATTTAGTTAAACCTAAAAAAATTTTAAAAAAAAGGCTAAACAACTTATAATACTAAACATAAGGAGTAAATGAATACCATGCTACTAGCTAGCTAGCTCGATAGCAGCTTCCTGCGGCTTCTGCTGTCCATTTCGATCCGGGCAAAGCAAAAGAGATGGTAGTAGCAGTGGACATCAGCACGGTGTTGTGGTTGAATGGTCAGAAAAGCGGTAATGTTGGCATGCATCAGCAAGAATTGTTTTCTTGTAGACTTGCGTGTATGTGTACCCCTGCCGATAACCAACACCGGCCAGGGGTGATAATGAGGCAACTTGATCATAAAGCGATCGAGAGCGTACTCTACAATATATAGGAGTATACGCCCTGCATGCGCCCGTATACCGTATGCCGCGCGCCCACTGTATAAATAGGCCGCATGTTCCAGCCGCCACATGCACAATTGCACGCCTGAGACTAGCATATCCATGTCCGATTGGCCGCCGCCACTGCTGCATGCTGCCTAGCTATAGTAGACCTGCTACCTGCAGATCACAATAGCACCGGAAACTGTGAGCTCGGTAAGTCGGTATATACGTATATAAGCCAATTAACCAATCGGCGTCGTCAGGCCTCTCGCGTGTGCGAGCGGTTGCGTCCGCATGGAGGACGACAAGAGTAAGGAGGGGAAATCGTCGTCGTCGTACCGCGGCGTGCGGAAGCGGCCGTGGGGCAAGTTCGCGGCGGAGATCCGCGACCCGGAGCGCGGGGGAGCCCGCGTGTGGCTCGGCACGTTCGACACCGCGGAGGAGGCCGCGCGGGCGTACGACCGCGCCGCATTCGCCATGAAGGGCGCCACGGCCATGCTCAACTTCCCGGGAGATCATCATCACGGCGCCGCAAGCAGGATGACCAGCACCGGCTCTTCTTCGTCCTCCTTCACCACGCCTCCTCCGGCGAACTCCTCCGCGGCGGCGGGCCGCGGCGGCTCCGATCGGACGACGGACAAGGTGGAGCTGGAGTGCCTCGACGACAAGGTCCTGGAGGACCTCCTCGCGGAGACCAACTATCGTGATAAGAACTACTAGCTAGCTAGCTACTATGGCTACTTAGCTAGTACATACCGATCCGTCGGTATTAGCAAGACGGACATGGAGCAGTCGTGATCTCGTCTGTATGCGCTCCTTGAAACGATCGAGACCATGAGCTTGCTAGCTAGCTACGCATAGTAGTAGCAATAACAGAGGAAGCCCAAGGCAGTATGTACTACTGTCCTAGCTAGCTAGCTAGCTTAGCTTCTTCTAATGGCATGCAAGAGCATATGTGGGCACGCACGCACGCACGCACGCACGACTCATGATTTGTGCGTCGGCACACGCACGTTTCAGACCATGCACGTCGTTGTTCGGTGTTCCGGCAAGCAGTCAAGCACATCTGGACAGCTAGAACGTTAGCATGGACAGAACCGTAATATTACGTACTGTATATACTCTTAATTTCAAGTACTGGAGCGGCAATTGATTATACTAGTATACTATACGCTTCCCTCCGTTCGTTATACAAAATTAATACACAGTATTATACTGTGTATTCGTTAAACTATACTACCTCCGTTTTTTAATAGATGACGTCATTGATCTTTTCTCACATGTTTGACCATTCGTCTTATTCAAAAATTTTATGTAAATGTATAAGATATAAATCACACTTAAAGTACTATGAGTGATAAAACAACTTATAACAAAATAAATTATAATTACGTAAATTTTTTGAATAAGACGAATGGTTAAACATGTAAGAAAAAGTCAACGGCATCATCTATTAAAAAACGGAGGGAGTATATATCTCGTGGTCTTGTTCATGTTGGTCAATGAAGGACTATAATATACTCTCTCCGTTTTTTAATAGATGACACCGTTGACTTTTTTAATATGTTTGACCATTCGTCTTATTCAACAAATTTACGTAATTATAATCTATTTTGTTATGAGTTATTTTATCACTCATAGTACTTTAAGTGTGATTTATATCTTATACATTTACATAAAATTTTTAAATAAGACGAATGGTCAAACATGTGAGAAAAAGTCAATGGTGTCATCTATTAAAAACGAAGGTAGTAACATGGAAACGGTGAATTTTCCATACTACTGATACTACTTTCTCTCGTTCGAATACTACTTTGTTTTCCCGCATAAAGTTTATTGACCGAAATACGGAATCCATGAAAAGATAAAGATGCTCTTATTATCTGATGCTACTGTTAACTCTCTACTTCTTGAGAACAGTAAACCCTCCCTCTTTCAACTAGTCAGCAAAAAAAAAAAGCCAAACCCTAGCTATGAACTTAGGCACGCATATGTCCGGGTTCGTAGTTAGGATTAAACTTTTTTTTGGGGCTGGGGTAGCCTGGTAAAAACCGATTCCCCAACAGGTAAAAAGAAGTGGTCCTCGGAAGTTGCCAAACCGAACCCACCGATCGAATCGAGGCGTGTGTGCCGCGTGCGCGCCCGTACAGTACGAGGAGAGCGGGACGCGGCCGGGTTCGCGACGGCGCACACGCAGGCTGGGCCGGTGATGGGCTGCGTGGGAGGTGTGCTGCTGATGCATGGGCCAATGCGCGAGATAGCTCGGTCGCGTGGTATGTGTCGGGCCTCGGTTCCCACGGGCTTCGCACGCAGGCCGGATACAGAAACAGATCGAATCTCGGAACAAAAACAGAGCGCCACATATCACTATATCAGATGTCACGGTGGATTTGCCGCCGCGCAGATCGGGATAGCTGGCAGGCATTCGTACACCCGGATTTCTGCTTTGATATATTCTGTTATCACAGTATATCCGAGGGCACCGTATCTGGTGCAAACCAGGGTTATTGCGCAACCTTGCAAATTTTCAATCAAGACCATAGGATGTCCATCCGATGGCTAGGGATATAGGTGGGTTACTTTTGCACTTAACCGCCCACACTCATCTATGCTAATCTGTTTTTTATGCAAATCCCCCCTAATCACAGCGTCCGTCCGTCCGCCCTTCCCGCGTCGTTTCGTTTCTACAGCACACGCGATTCGCCGCCGCCCGCTCGAGTCCCCGCCGCCCGCCAGCGACTCGCCGACGCCCCTTCGCCACGCCACCACCGCCATGTTGCAAACCCTCCCGTTGTGAGGTCACGGGGTAGACCGTGCCGCTGCCGCCATGGAGTCTGGCACGCGCGACGTTTCGGATTCCAACGCGATAGACCCTGTGCAGGACCAGCGGGCGGGTGCCGTTGATCCTATCGTCGCTATTGATCCCGTCTCCGTTGAGGCCGCCGCCATATATCATGCTGTCATTATCGTGGACGCGGGCCAAACAAGGTGTGAACTATGAACCGTGGAAGTGTACTTGCTGGAAGTTTATTCTGAACTTGTATCCCTATACTTGATGTATTCCTGAATGAGACATGCTTATTTTCGTATTGTGAACATTTTAATCTTAACCTGTATGCTCTTGTTATGGGTAGATGCTGCCAAAATTTAGTAAAAAGGGGTACATGCTACCAAAATCTGAACTGCATCAAGAGTTTCTTATCTAAGACATGTTTGCCATCAATATATGACAATACATGAAACTGAACCTGTATCAAACCTATCAAGCTGTTGTGCTCTAGCACATGTGCAGAAAATGCAGAACAAGTAGTTTGACAGTTTGACAGATTACAAAATCCGTGCTGGTTTCAGTTCATCTGTCATCCGAATGCATGAAGCTGGGCATATATTCAGTTTGACAGATTGACACAGAAAACAGCTGGTAGTTCATTCAGGCTATTATACAGTTACACACCCATAGGTTCCACTGTCACCACAAGCAAGAAAAATGTTTTTTTATAGTTCAACTTGACTTGACTCAATCTCATTATCAAATGACAGAACACAATTCCATTGCATATTTGCAGTCACAATCTTTCAGAGTTTCAGATTACAAAATTAGTACATCAGTGTCAATCTCAGAACACGATTCCATTGCATATCAGCTCGGCGGGCCAGCGACCGCGTCGAGCCGGCTGGGCGGGGACGCGGCCGCGGCGGCGAGCGGCGACAGCGGGAGGCGCAGCTCGGCGGGCCAGCGACCGCATCGAGCCGGCTGGGCAGGGACGCGGTCGCGGCGGCGAGCGGCGACGGCGGGAGGGCGGAGGACGGCGGCCACATGAAGCAGGGGGGGATTTGTATAAAAAACAGATTAGCAGAGATGAGTGCGGGCGATTAAGTGCAAAAGTAGCCTACCTCTGTCCCTAGCCATCGGATGAGCATCATGTAGTCTTGATTGAAAGTTTGCAAGGTTGCACAGCAACTCTGGTTTGCACGAGATACGGTGCCGTATCCGAGGGGGTGCTAGTGTCTGCCAATGGCGTTGCATACGTATCTCGTTTGTATAACGGAATCGGGCTCTTTGCACGGCACACGGTTCATCTCGTACTCGAACTCCGATCTGTTATAACCATCGCGTTGGATCGTAGCAGCAGCCGCCGACCCAAACGCAAACGCAAACGCGACGCCATGGGAAGGCAGGACCAGCAGCTGCAGGTGCTGAACGCGCTCGACGCGGCCAAGACGCAATGGTACCACTTCACGGCGATCATCGTCGCCGGCATGGGGTTCTTCACCGACGCCTACGACCTCTTCTGCATCTCGCTCGTCACCAAGCTTCTCGGCCGCATCTACTACACCGACCCCGCCAGCCCCACCCCCGGCTCGCTGCCGCCCAACATCGCCGCCGCGGTGAATGGCGTCGCGCTCTGCGGCACCCTCTCCGGCCAGCTCTTCTTCGGATGGCTCGGCGACAAGCTCGGCCGCAAGAGCGTCTACGGGATGACGCTGCTGCTCATGGTGATTTGCTCCATCGCCTCAGGGCTCTCCTTCTCGCACACGCCGACGAGCGTCATGGCCACGCTCTGCTTCTTCCGCTTCTGGCTCGGCTTCGGCATCGGCGGTGACTACCCGCTGAGCGCCACCATCATGTCCGAGTACGCCAACAAGAAGACCCGCGGCGCGTTCATCGCCGCCGTCTTCGCCATGCAGGGGTTCGGCATCCTCGCCGGCGGCGTTGTCACGCTCGCCATGTCCGCGGGGTTCCAGGCCGCGTTCCCGGCCCCAGCGTACGAGGTCAATGCCGCTGCGTCCACCGTGCCGCAGGCCGACTACGTGTGGCGCATCATCCTGATGCTCGGTGCGCTGCCGGCCATACTGACGTACTACTGGCGGATGAAGATGCCGGAGACGGCGCGGTACACGGCGCTCGTCGCCAAGGACGCGAAGCAGGCGTCGTCGGACATGGCCAAGGTGCTGCAGGTGGAAATCGAGGTGGAGGAGGAGAAGCTCCAGGACATCACGAGGGGCAGGGACTACGGCCTCTTCTCGGCGCGGTTCGCCAAGCGCCATGGCGCGCACCTCCTGGGCACGGCGGCGACGTGGTTCCTCGTCGACGTCGCGTACTACAGCCAGAACCTGTTCCAGAAGGACATCTTCACCAGCATCCACTGGATCCCCAAGGCGCGCACCATGAGCGAGCTCGAGGAGGTGTTCCGCATCTCCCGCGCGCAGACGCTCATCGCGCTCTGCGGCACCGTGCCGGGCTACTGGTTCACCGTCTTCCTCATCGACATCATCGGCCGCTTCAAGATCCAGCTCCTCGGCTTCGCCGGGATGACGGCGTTCATGCTCGGCCTCGCCATCCCGTACCACCACTGGACCATGCCTGGCAACCAGGTCATCTTCGTCTTCCTCTACGGCTTCACCTTCTTCTTCGCCAACTTTGGGCCGAACGCGACGACGTTCATCGTGCCGGCCGAGATCTTCCCGGCGCGTCTCCGGTCAACCTGCCACGGCATCTCCGCCGCGTCCGGCAAGGCCGGCGCGATCATCGGAGCATTCGGTTTCCTCTACGCGGCGCAGCCACAGGACAAGGCGCATGTCGACGCCGGCTACAAACCTGGGATTGGCGTGCGGAACGCGCTCTTCGTGCTCGCCGGGTGCAACCTCGTTGGGTTCCTCATGACATGGATGCTCGTGCCGGAATCGAAAGGGAAGTCGCTGGAGGAGATGTCCGGCGAGGCCGACGACGAGGAAGCTTCTGCCAACGGCGGTGCCACCGCCGTCAACTCGTCCGGAGTTGAGATGGTGTAATCCTTCAGGACGCAACGAGATGACGAACACTTGCATGCGAAGCTCGTACTTGTAGCGTGATAGGAAATGTTATACTTATATTTATTAGATCGTACTCCTACTAGTAACTATCATAACTATGTTAGTACTTGCTTTTTAGGTACAGGAGTTCTCTTTGTACCTCAAGTTGATCCCTAATTTTCGTAGAACTTAATTAATTCATGGCAAGAAGTTGCTCATTAATAGAAGCTATTCTAAACTTTTGTGGGATGTCTCCTTGTTATTTGCATGTTACTTAAACAATTATAAAAAAAATAGAAAAAAATTAAATAGATAGATTACAATATATCATTACACAAACATACATACAAGGTCGTGCTTTCTGAAAAAGACTTTCCCGTGTTCAGAACTACAATACTTTCCCCTGTCCTACAAATAGTGCATCTCTAGTTTTAAAATTTATCATTTCACAAGAGTAGTGGAGGAAAATTTATGGTTTTGTTTCAACTTTTTTTCTAACCAGATTCCCAATACATGTGGGTCTCATACTCTCATCGATGTTTTTTAGATAGTGCTACATAAGCATCGTATAGGCGTCACATGTGACGAAGACTGAGTCAATGAGTCACGTATGCGGCATGCCAGCAGAAAATCGTTTTCAATAATGCAAATAGACTCAACATGCACTGGTTTTTTTTAAAAGCGAATTCTCACTGGATTTAGAAGTCAGGCTCCATTCATTTCAACTTAAAAAAGTGGATTAAGTTTTGGATATTCGTGACACGCTTTTCAAACTGCTAAACGGTGTCTTTCGTGCGAAAACTTTCTATATGAAAGTTGTTTTAAAATATCAGATTAATCCATTTTTCAAGTTTACAATAATTAAAACTCAATTAATCACATGTTATTATCATCTCTTTTTGCGTGAAATATTTAATCTTCATCTTCATCTTCAAGAATTCAAACACCACCTAAGTGATGTTTCATAAACGGTTTTACGATATGGATATGAATGAAACTCGACCCATAGTTCAGAGATGTCAAGTGAACTTTCTCGTAACAAACAACTCGTACGGCCCAACTAAACAAATGCACCAAACACATCAAGGAAAAAGTCCATCAATGATGCAGTCCAAACCAACAACAGATCGGCCAGGTCCAACCGAATGCACCATTGTAGCTTCAACACACATCCTCACAGACGCATGTACTCCCTCCGTTTAATAAAAAACCTAAATTTAGAGAAATATCCAGATTATCTCTAAAATTTGGTTTTTTATAAAACGAAGGAAGTACACCTTATGTGTCCTACGTATATACAACCATCCGCACATGATGCTTGTTTTTGTTCACTCTGTATCCTTTTCCGCCTGGATTTCTAGGCTGAGTAAGTAAAATTACCTGATTTTTTAAAAGAAAAGAATAAGTGTGTACGTACAGATTCCTCTTACTCACCCTCTCCATAGGTATCCTAAGTCAACCTCTTACCAGCTGATTAAAAATAGAGTGATTAATCATATGATAATCCATGAGGGCATTTTCCAGCTTCCACGCGACCACGCCTCATTTGGTCCCAATAATCCACACAGCTGACGCCTTGACAGCGGTACAAAGTTTGCTAACCTGTGTGCTGCTTCTTATATATGGTCCCCAAAGTTACGATTTTGATGTCATTTTCTCCTCAGTAGTACTGTAGTCTTAGATGCCAAGCTAGCCAAGAGTTGATCAGTCAACGAACAGGACGAACGGAGTACTAGAAAAATGGATATGTTGCGTGTGGTCGCTACAAACAATCAATTTCCTGAACTACTAGCATATCCATTGCATTCTTTTTTCAAACTACACGGTTCTTTCAAATCCAGGGAAAAGTTCACCAATTCTTCAAGAACATATACACACATCTCACTCACATATACTACAAACTAGTCACTAATTGAAATTTCTACAAACTTATCCAAGAAAAAGAAAAAACTACCACTCGTACGGAAGCGACGACTAGAGTTGTTACAGTTGGGAAAAGAGATGACACCAATGGTTAGCGGCAACCACTCCCTGCGTGATCACGCGCGCGGTCAAATTACTTCGGGTAGGCCGCCTCCTCGTCGTCGCCGTCGGCGACCTCCTGCGAGATAACCTCGAGCGACATGCCCTTGGACTCCGGCACGAGCAGCGTCATGATCGTCCCGAGGAAGTTTGTGCCGGCGAGCACGAAGAGCGCGTTCTTGATGCCGATCCCCCTGGGGTACCCAGGCTCGGGCTTGTGCTGGTCCTGCGCCGCGTACAGGAACCCGAACGCTCCGATGATGGCGCCGGCCTTCCCGGCGGCGGCGGAGATGCCGTGGCACGTCGACCGGAGCCGCGCCGGGTATATCTCCGCCGGCACGATGAAGGTGGTGCTGTTTGGCCCGAAGTTCGCGAAGAAGAAGGTGAATCCGTACATGACGATGAAGCCGGTGTGGTGCCCCGGCGTCGTCCAGTGGTGGTACGGGATGGCGAGGCCGAGCATGAACGCCGTCATCATGGCGAAGCCCATGATCTGGATCCAGAACCTGCCCATGATCTCGATGAATGCGACGGTGAACCAGTAGCCCGGGATGGTGCCGCAGAGCGCGATGAGCGCCTGGGCGCGGGCGATGCGGTAGAGCTCCTCGAGCGCGTTCATGGTCTTCGCCGGCGGGATCCACCCGACCTTGCTGAAGATGTCCTTCTGGAACAGGTTCTGGCTGTAGAAGGCGATGTCGAGGAGGAACCACGTGCTGGTGGTGGCGAGGAGGTGGAGGCCGTGGCGGCGCAGGAACTGGCGCGAGAAGAGGCCCCAGCTCTCGCCGCCGACGGCCACCGTCTCGGCGCGGTCCGCGCTCTCCTCAATCTGGGTGTGCAGCACCTTGGACATGTCGGCCGCCGCCTGCTTCGCGTTGCGGGCGATGAGCGCCGTGTACCGCGCCGTCTCGGGCATCTTCATCCGCCAGTAGTAGGTGAGCGCCGCCGGGACGGTGCCGAACATGAGGATGATGCGCCACACGTAGTCGGCCTGCGGGACGAGCGACGCGGCGTGGTTGTCGGAGTAGGACGGCGCCGGGTACGCGTGCCGGAACCCCGCCGACACCGCGAGCGCGACGATGGCGCCGAAGAGGATCCCGAACCCCTGCATGGCGAACACGGCGGCGATGAAGGCCCCGCGCGTCCTCTTGTTCGCGTACTCCGACATGATGGTGGCGCTGAGCGGGTAGTCGCCGCCGATGCCGAAGCCGAGCCAGAACCGGAAGAAGCAGAGCGTAGACACGACGCCCTTGGCCGAGCTCCCGAACGAGAGCCCGGACGCGACCGAGCACACGACCATCAGAATCAGCGTGAAACCATACACGCTCTTGCGTCCGAGCTTGTCGCCGAGCCATCCGAAGAAAAGCTGGCCGGCGAGCGTGCCGCAGAGCGCGACGCCGGTGACGGCGGCCGACACGTTGGGCGGGAGCGCGCCGGGGGTGTCCTTGGAATCGTCGGTGTAGTAGATGCGGCCGAGCAGCTTGGTGACGAGGGAAATGCAGAAGAGGTCGTAGGCGTCGGTGAAGAAGCCCATGCCGGCGATGACGATCGCCATGAAGTGGTACCATTGCGTCTTCGCCTGGTCGAGCGTGCTCAGCACGTTGAGCTGCCCTCCCGCCATGGCTTCCCAACTCTTTGAGCTCTGAGCTCTCCTCTGATCTAACTTTTTCTTTTGCTTTGCCGCTGAACTGACTGTTCTCTACTGGACGCAGATATATACTACTCGCAGTCGCAGGTCCAGTGTTGAATGCTCAAACTAGTCAACTCTAATGGTTGCCGTTCTTATCAAAAGCAGAGCAGGGGCACAGTAGAGGGGGCGGACTGCAAAACTGGAAGTCTTTTGGTCTCCGTTCTTCCCGCGTTTGGAGCAGTAATTAACCGGCACATCTTCATCAATTACTGACGAAGCATGTTGAGATGGATACTTTGTAGTCTGTAGTCTGTACTGTGTAGTACGTAACACAATCGCTTCTCATTAGCAGGTTGAAACAAGACAGCGACAAGCTGAGCAAGAACCAAGTACTAACTCCGTTTTTTAATAGATGATGCCGTTGATTTTTTCTCACATGTTTAACCATTCGTCTTATTCAAAAATTTTACGTAATTATAATTTATTTTATTATGAGTTGTTATATCAGTCATAATACTTTAAGTGTGATTTATATCTTATACAATTACATAAAATTTTTGGATAAGACGAATGGTCAAATATGTAAGAAAAAGTCAACGGCGTCATCTATTAAAAAACAGAGGGAGTATATGGATAGGCTTGGAAATCAGCAGCTGAATGCCGTGTTTGTTCAATTGGTTATTACTACTGTACTTGTTAGCCGGAGTAGTTCTGACTGAACATTCTTTCTTTGATATGGAAGTCATCGCCGTTGAAGTATGCGAGGGTAGGATTTTGCAGAGCATGGGCTGGCTGCACTACTGGCTCAATGAAGTCCAGTTCATAGGCGTCCTTCGGTAGGGTGGACGCACAGCTCGCAACAGTAGTTGCAGTACACACTTGGGCCTTCCCGTCTTAAATTCTCTTGTTTCTTGGTTTTCCACATGGCACATGCCTAGCTAATACGATCTGGCTTGTCGCTATCTCGTTTTGGTGATGGAATTGACATGGGGCTGAAACTTCAGCTAGAGAACAAACCATGTCCCTTTCGCTACAACAATCGGAGAAGAGGTCGACGAAATTTCCAGCGAAGCTTCTTGACGATGAACTCTTGCGAGCAACTTGACAAGCATGCATGCCCTAGCGAGCGAGCGAAACTACTCCCCGCGAATGACGCAGAGATGTGTGTGTTTTGTTTGCATGGCTCGTGACGCAGAACAGGATATGGACAGAAGTACTGGAGAAGGCTAGCTATAGCTCCCCGCGAATTGCCATCTTCACCTTTTACGCCTCGAGGATAACTCTTCACCTCGTTGTGTCCTTGTTGGTTGCTGTTGCTCCAGGCAAACGTAGCCAAATCTGACCAGCCATACCCACTTGCTAATGGTGGCCCCATGGCCACCTTCCCTTCTCCGGCGTATAGCTCCACGGCCGATACTTTCGCCGGACTTCCCCAACCTCCTCCTGCCTGTGCCGACCTACTCCGAACTTCTGCCTTTCGCCGCTGCCAGGGGCACATCCCTCCTTGCTCCACCTCGGCCTTGGCCACCCCGACTTCCTCCTCTGATGGCTCCTTCCTCGTCCTCGTCACGGAGCCCTCTCCTTCGCCAGAACTCCGTTGCCGTCGGAATGCGTTAGGCCATCTGCACTGCCTACACCCATCCTGAGTATGGGTGGTTACATCAAAGTTTACTCCTTCGAGCTAAACAAACAAAACGATTTACCCCTTTGTTGCCATTCGCTACTTCAGATGAATTCTGAAGAATGATTGCTCAACAAGAGGATGGCGCCAAACAAGCTACTACTAATAGCAAAGGTCTAATAGCAAAGCTACTACTTTTCATATTATAAGAAACTATTGTTATAGAATATAAAAAAAAAAGAACTTGGGCCATGTTTAGTTGTAATTTTTTTTCAAACTTTCGACTTTTCCATCCCATTAAAACTTTTCTACACACAAACTTTCAACTTTTTCGTCACATCGTTCCAATTTCAACCGAACTTTTAATTTTAGCGTGAAGGAAAAAGCTATTTTTCCAACATCTACATGTTATCACCAGCCGAGTCCAGCTTTTCTCAATATTTGAAGAAAAAGTAGAATCCAGAAAATGAAGAATTTAGAAACTGTTTTTTTTATACGGACGATGACGGCGTACGAATCTGACTCAAATCTTGATGCAATTGGACGGCCATCATCCGTTGTGTTATTTTATTTTGCTCCAAAAATAATCCGAACTGGAGTAGTACAGTAGTACTCCGGAAAAACCATCAAGGGAAACCCTAGCTTTCATGAGAAGCGGCGGGCCGGCGGTGATGGAGGTGGATACGGGCGCGGAGAGGTGCGGGGACGCGGCCAGCCACCTCCACTGCAGATCAGAGGAGGCCGTCACCGGAGGCGATGCCAAGCGGCTGCGCAAGGGCAGCGGCGACGACGACCATCATCAGTATATGGACGACGACGACGACTACGGTGACGACGAGCCACCCTCCAATCCCCTCGACTCCTACCGCGAGGACTGGGTTGAGATCTACGGTAAAACAGGATCTTTCGAGGACGAAAGTGAGTTTTTTTAAACAAAATCCCTTATGCAGTTCAAGGAATATTAATTTACACTTCCCGTATTTAGCACATTTGGATGCCCTTGATTCAACAGTGGCGGCAGCGATTCGTGCTAGGTTTATAGTAGTTGAGTTTGATTTTGATGCGCTGGGAATTGCAGTGGGTGGGGGTAACAGGGATGAGGGATGAAGACAGCTAAAAACAAATTCGCTGCTATTTTCTTCTCTGCAATGACGAATGTTTGTGTTTGAGAATTACTTCATTCTGAATTTCCAATCACTTTACCCCCCCCCCACCCCCCCCCCCCCAATCGATGTGTGGCAAACTGGCAATTATGTAATCCGATGTCAATCATTCACAACACCACATGTTTAGAGACCAATGTAGCACATAACCACATGTTTTAAATTGCTCTCACATAAACACGGGTATTCAATCCAAATAACAGAAAACAGCATATGTATTAGGGTGAGAATTATCTCATTCTGAATTTCCAATCAATTTATAACCACTTGATGTGCGACAATTATGCAATCTGATTTTGTCAATCAATTTATATTTATATGTGTGTGCAGCGGAAATCTTGCCGATGCGGCATACGGACGGGCCAATATGGCCAGAGTCTTGGCCGATGAACCTGCTACAAATCTTCTCGGTTAAAGTGGTGGAGGTTATGGGGGACCTCCAGTGGCCGCTGGATGTCTATGGTGTTGTCGCCGTGCGCGACTCACTGGATCGCAAGAGGAACATCCTCTTCTGCCGCGAGAGGGACGACTGCCAGACCTTACTGCAGGCATGTTCCTTCCTACCATTGCTTTGATGCTTTCTATTCTCCGTCATATTATTTTGTTTCGATTTTATTCTTTCAATATCAGATCCGCCATCAGCACATTGCAAACATAAACTTTCAGATATCGTGACAAAGTCTTGCTGCTATTGTGCACAAATTTTGACAATTTGACCCTTTGCAAAAACTATTTTTACAAATGAATTGCTGCCAAAACTTATTTCAAATCTGGCCCTTTTGCTCAACACCAAATCGTGTGGCGCTGAACTTAGATACCTCAGCGCTAAATAACATGACGCTGAATGTACGTTGGCACGCTGACTTAGTCTCCCATCCGCCGTGGCATGGCATTCAAAGCCAGCTGACGTGGCGCTGAGGTGTCTAAGGTCCGCGCCACACGATTTGGCGTTGAGCAAAAATGTTAGATTTGAAATAAGTTTTGGCAGCGGTTCATTTGTAAAATTAGTTTTTGCAAAGGGTCAAAATGTCAAATTTTGTGGCTATTGTGTACCATGCTAAGTTGTTTCTTACAAATCTGTTGGATTGAGGAGAAACAATTAATACATTGTTGAACAGGCATGTTAATTTATTTGTGGCATGCATACCTGCAGGATTCATCATCTTTGGTGCTTACAGGCCCTAGTCGAGCTGTCGTAGTGTTGGATCCTGTTGTTTTTGAGGTTGACCTCAAAGTAAAGGGTAGGGTACCAGCATCTCAAGACAAGGTTTTAAGCTACCATGCGTTTGTCTATGCTTACCTGACAAACAATGGCTTTGCAAGAAGAGAGGTAGAGTCAACCGAGCACAGCACGTTGGAGTTCACATTTGCACATTCGCATATGCAGTGGAAGCAACCATCATAATCCATGTCGTCCAAGGATCGACCGATTTCAGGGCCCGTTTCAGCGCTCGCACCGCTGGCATTGACGAAGACGTGGTGCTGCTCGACTCTGGTGATAGGAAGGTGGTTGTCGCCGATGATGGGCTCGTCGTGTTGCAGCGGCGCGTCGTTGTGGTTGAGGAGAAAGGCAAGCTGAACCTCCGTGTTGAGGCTTCAGAGAATGGCAGTGACACAGTTGTTGGTAAGCAGATGAGCTTCAGTGCTAGGCCGGCCTTGAGAAGCGAAGGTCGTTTCGTGCTTGGCTTCTGCACCATGTCGGTCATCGTCGCTTGGTCAGTGCTTCCATAGATGATTAGTGTGTGTGTGTGTGTGTGTGTGTGTGTGTGTGTGTGTGTGTGTGTGTGTGTGTGTTTGATGGTAATTGGTCTGCAATATGCTGTGCTGATCTCAACTAAGCTAAGCTAAGTGACTATGAGAACTTCTTAAACTATGTAGGAGTATTATATATACATTCAGTAATCTGACCAACTGGTTTGAGATGCTCCTTTGTGAACTTTGTGGTGAATTTTTGAGTGTGATGATCATGATGAATATAATGTGGGAACTGGGAAATATAGCGTTTGGTGCTGAAGCAGAACCATTAATTATGGATTGTGATGAATCCTTTAATCTCTTTAATTTGCGGTTGCGTGGCTGCAAAGCTGCCATTCTGTATTTGTTGCAATGGCAAGGAACAAAATGTTGAAATAACTCCCTTTTGGAATAAGAAATCTGGAATAGTATGGTCAGGGGAACTGTTACTCTGCATTATTTGTAAGCGCAAAAGGGCAAACTTGTCCTTGAAAAATCAAGACCAGCATATAACCCATTTTATTACGACGAAAGATACGTTTGTTCAGTAATAGCAATACCAATAGCAACACTCCCAAAATCAGGAAGAGCAACAGCAATACCCGGTCACATGGCATCAGTAATGAACGTTCAACACTCCCAAAATCGAGGCGCCCGCCGCCCGGCGGTGTAGGGCGCCCCGACTGCGGCGAACACAAGCAGCGTCGTTGCCGCCCCACGCCACGCCAGCAGCATATGCACTGGTTGCCCACGATGTCCGTGAGGTCAGACTTGACCAGCCGCAGTTGCCTCACGAAGAGGATGAACCCGAAATCACCCGATTTTGCACGCTACGTTGTCAGCGGCGAGTCAGAGAAAACAATCGGTTGACACTCCAGTCAGCCATGGAATTAAATACGTCACAACCGCGCAAGCCCGCAAGCGGCAAGCGGACCACCTCGATCGGCCGCGGGCGACCAAGGCACCAAGCAAGGCGGCTCGGCGGATGGGAGATGAGCCTTCCACAGCCAACAGCAGCCGACAGGACGTACGCCTACAGCGGAGCGCCCCCCGCGCCCCCCCCGATGCCCAAGCGATTTTTAGCCGCCAGTCACGAGCCGACGCCGCGACGAGCACGGCCGCGGATTCCTCGCGAGCCCCGTGACCGTCGTCCGCGTGACGCGGTTACCACTTTACCCTGTAGGCTTGGGCGCTTGGCGCGCTCCGCGGCCCAATCCCAACGCAGTCCATGACGCCGCGAGAGGCTAACCCTAAAACATCCGAGCGGGCGTGACGAGGTGGCCCAGTAGAACTAATGAACTATTCGGGCCAGGAGGGATAGAAGGCCGAGTGCAGAGAACACTTGGCGTTGGGATCTTAAAAAAAATCACGATATGCATTGCATAAATTTAGGTGACTAACATAACAAACCAGAAGAAATTAGTCAATTGAAAATAACGAAAGTGTAACAATATTATTAGCGGTTTGCAAAGCCGCTCACGCCATTTACAATACAATTGAAATGAATGTATGCCATTTATATCAGTTGCAGGGAAAGTTCACAAAATCTCACAAACAAGTTTAATTGTTTCAACCAAAAAAAAAGAAAGAAAGAGAAACCCCACAAATCCACAACTGTAAAAGGAGAGACACTACAAAAGTATACAAAACTAGATTAAGTAATCACACCAATAGAGTAATAAAGCATACATTTTTTTTCAGTCACTCACGTCGAGACGGCATGTTTATGACATCACGCTTGGGCGATCGCTTCTTGGGCGGTCTCGTCGACGACGTTGTCCTTGGACATCTCCTCCAGCGACAAGCCCTTGGACTCCGGCACCAGCAGCGTCATGAGCATACCGAGGAAGTTTGTGCCGGCGAGCACGAAGAGCGCGTTCCGGATGCCGATGCCGCGGGAGTATCCCGCGTCGGGATTGTGCTGGTCCTGCGCAGCGTACAGGAACCCGAACGCGCCGATGATCGCGCCGGCCTTGCCGGACGCGGCGGAGATGCCGTGGCACGTCGACCGGAGCCTCGCCGGGAAGATCTCAGCCGGCACGATGAAGGTGGTGCTGTTGGGCCCGAAGTTGGCGAAGAAGAAGGTGAGTGCGTAGAGCACGACGAAGCCGGTGTGGTGCGCCGGGTGCGTCCAGTGGTCGTAGGGCACGCCGAGCGCGAGCATGAACACGGTCATCATGAAGAAGCCCATGATCTGGATCCAGAACCTGCCGACGATGTCGATGAAGGCGACGGTGAACCAGTAGCCCGGGATGGTTCCGCAGAGTGCGATGAGTGCCTGGGCGCGGGAGATGCGGTAGAGTTCCTCGAGCGCGTTCATGGTCTTCGCCGGCGGTATCCACCCGACCTTGCTGAAGATGTCCTTCTGGAACAGGTTCTGGCTGTAGAAGGCGATGTCGAGCAGGAACCACGTGCTGGTGGTCGCCAGGAGGTGCATCCCGTGGCGCTTCATGAACTGCCGTGAGAAGAGGCCCCAGGTCTCCCCGGCGACCACCTGGCTCTCGACCACCTCCGGCCGCTCCTCGATCTCGGCGTGGAGCACCTTGGACATGTCAGCCGCCGCCTGCTTGGCGTTGCGGGCGACGAGCGCCGTGTACCGCGCCGTCTCGGGCATTTTCATGCGCCAGTAGTAGGTGAGCCCAGCCGGGATGGTGCCGAACATGAGGATGAGCCGCCACGTGTAGTCAGCCTGCGGCGCGAGCGACGCGGCGGGGTTCTGGGCGTACGACGGCGCCGGGTACGCGTGACGGAAGCCGGCCGAGACGACGAGCGCGACGATGGCGCCGAAGAGGATCCCGAACCCCTGCATGGCGAACACGGCGGCGATGAAGGCCCCGCGGGTCTTCTTGCTCGCGTACTCCGACATGATGGTGGCGCTGAGCGGGTAGTCGCCGCCGATGCCGAAGCCGAGCCAGAAGCGGAAGAAGCAGAGCGTGGCAATCACGCTCTTGGGCGTGTGGCCAAACGAGAGACCGGAGGCGATGGAGCACACGACCATGAGGATGAGCGTGAATCCATAGACGCTCTTGCGGCCGAGCTTGTCGCCGAGCCATCCGAAGAAGAGCTGGCCGGCGAGCGTGCCGCAGAGCGCGACGCCGGTGACGGCGGACGACACGTTGGGCGGGAGTGTCCCTGGGTTGGGCTTGGTGATGTCGGTGTAGTAAAGGCGACCCAACAGCTTGGTGACCAGCGCGATGCAAAAGAGGTCGTAGGCGTCTGTGAAGAACCCCATCCCGGCGATGACGATCGCCATGAAATGGTACCATTGCGTCTTGGCCTGGTCGAGCTTGACCAAAACGTTGAGCTGCGATCCCGCCATGATGATCTTTTTTCCTCAAGCTGCAAAGTTATAAGCTTTGCTTAGTACAGACAACATATCACAAAAGAATAGAAAATTCTTCACCTAGGCATCTCCATTTATATCTGACTAGATCGTTGAATGTTAATTGAACAGAGAAATTTCAGGTTTCGCACTGTTGAGATTGAGAATTCATGATTTACCGCTCAGTAATTGAAACTTCAATAGATAGGGGTGTGTCCATTTTTAATGCGTACTGTACTAAATAGTAGAAGCACATGTTTACACAACTAATCTTATTGGCGGGTAATAATATTACGCATATGATTCAACAAATATTCAGTAGAACGTTTCCTGAATATGCTAAACCGCAACACTAATTAATCTAGCATCTCTGCTAACATGGAACTCAGATGCAGGAGAGAGGGTTGCGTACCTTGGGAAGATTGAGGATGGGTTGACTCCGGAGAGAGAGCAGAGGGGATCGCTGTGTGCTCTGTTAGTTTCCTCATCTCTGTTGCCATGGTGCTGTATATATAGCCGCAGCGCAGTCCGGACAGGATACAGACAGGGCATGGTTGCAGAAAAAAGATTTTCTTTCTACTGCATTGCATGTACCGTACATACTGTAGATTGCAAGCAGATAGTGACATATATTGTCTTTAAAATGCCCGTACAGAAGTCAAATGTTATTCTATTTGCAGGATCGTGGAATGTGAAATTAACTTTCAACTATCTATGCATATCAGCGTATGGCCTCCCACTGTTTAGAATTCTACGGTGTCAGGATCGGCTGGGCAGTGACAAAGCTATGCATGCAAATAGGGTCTTGGTCTTGAGCAGTGATCATTTGGTTAAGTCCTACACCATCAGTTTCCGATTTCATATTATAACATATTATAAGTCGTTTAGCCTTTTCTCTAGTTAAACTTTGATAAGTTTGATCAAATTTATAAAAAGATTAGCAACATCTAAAATACTTAACTAGTTTAACATTGAATACATTTTATATTTTCATAATATGTTTGTTTTGTGTTTAAAATAGTACTATATTTTTCTTTAAACTTAGTCAAACTTAAAGAAGGGCTGTTCAGATTGTAGCCAAGATAAATTTAAAATTTTGGTAGTTTGACAATATTACTAAAATTTTGGTACGATTTCTTATGTATTTATCAAAATTTAGCAAGAAACTAAATAGATACACATATTTGACAACTCTATAAAAAATGGTATGGTTTGAAATAGCATCAATCTGAACAAGCCTGAAGTTTAATTAGAAAAAGATCAAACGACATACTCCCTCCATCTACTTTTGATAGTCATATTTCATCTTGCCACGCAGACCAAGGATAAGTAATTCTACTTATCATTCATTTAAACATGCTACTAGTCATTTCTCGTAAACAAACGATTCATTAATATTAACATTTCTCAATGCCCATGTAGCCAATCATGCGTGGAAGAATGGGGAGTCATGCATTAAATCCAAGAAAGTCATTAAGAGAATAGGTTGTTGGATTGAAATATGACTATCAAAAATAAATTTTTTAGATTTGGAAATATGACTATCAAAAGTAGATGGAGGGAGTATAATATAAAACAGAGGAAACATCCGGGAAGTTCCAGAATAAAATCTTGGCAATTGCCTGCTGATGTCATTTGGTGTCTTCAACAGTTCAACTACTAATCGAACGGATGGTGGGAAAAACTCAAAAACTTGGTAAATAGATCTTAATTAGAAAAATTGTACCTGTGTTAGTACGTTTATGGGTTTATACTAGGGGTGGATGTCGAGCTGGCTCAGCTCGGCTCGGTCTGGCTCGAGCTAGCTCGTTATCCTAACGGCTCGGCTCGTCAACAAGCTCGAGCTAGCTCGTTAAGCTCGCGAGCTAGGGGCGAGAGACGTAGCCGGCGAGCACGGGGAGGAGGGGAGAAGCTTGACGGCGGAGGAAACGAGCTCGAGCTCGCCGGCGACCACAGGGACAGGGAGGAGCTCGACGGTGGAGGGGATGAACTCGACGCAGCTCCACCGGCACTTGGAGGAGACGAGCTCGAGCTCGCCGGCGGCGTCTGGTGCTGGATCGCTGGGGGAGAGGCGGAGATCGGCGACGGTGGGCGCTCAATCTCCCGGCGGCGGCAGGCGTGGGGGATAGGCGGAGACCGGCGGCGGCGGGCGCTCGATCTCCCGTCGGTGGCGGGCGCTGGCAGGGGAGAGGAGGAGACCGGCGGCGGCGAGCGCTGGTGGGGGAGGGGCGGAGACCGGCGGCAGCGGGTGCTCGATCTTCCCGGCGGCGGCGGCGGCGGCTAGAGGAGAGGCGGAGCGGGAGCGGCGGTGGCGGCGGCTGGGGGAGAGGCGGAGCGGCGGCGGCGGATGGGGGAGAGGCGGAGCGGCGACAGCGGCCAGGGGAGAGGCGGAGCGGCGACGGCTTGGGGAAAGGCGCAGCGGCGGCGGCGGCTGGGGGGAGAGTGGGGAATTGAGTGAGGACTAGGGTTTGCAATGTCTTGGGCTTAGGCCTTTTTGTTGTATTGGGCTTTTGGGCTGTTATGAGTCTAGCTCGTTAGGGCTCGCGAGCCAGCTCGAACTGGCTCGTTATCTCTAACGAGCTAAAATGCCAGCTCGGCTCGTTAGAAAATTCAAACGAACCGAGCAGAGCCTGTCACGAGCCGAGCGAGCTAACGAGCCACGAGCTTTCTGTCCACCTTATACTCAACCTTCAGTCCTTCAGACAATGCGTTAGGGACACATTTGTGAGTTATCAACATGTATGCGATGCCATAAGATTAGTCAAACCCACTGTTTCCCTTCTATGGTTTTCCTTCTTGCAATCACAGTTAATTAGCATAACAGCGGATTACGACGTTTAACATCTGATAACCACGGACGCAGACAGTGCTAGGTTATTATATCTCCTTGGTTTAATATAATCAGGGTCAACGCGAGAAAAGATCCGAATATGCCTGGGAACCTTGTCAGTTGTCATAATCTTTAATTTGTGTTGGGCTAACACGACCGTAATTAGAAAGGTCAAGAAACTTAATTTAGAATGATCTTATTGCTCTGCTATCGTTGCCAGATTGGATGCAATGACTACAGTTACGGTTAGCTCACGTTACCAAGTTTTCTCCTTAAAAAAAAGTTGAGCAGCTCACAAACCCCTGTCTCTGATTTTGATTTTCTTCTCTTTTCTTGAGAGTTTTTTAAGAAATACTCCAGTCTCCTACCACCGAAAACATGGCTTCCTCTCTCCTCTTCCTATTGGCTTCCTGGTAGGTATATCATATTTTACTTGGTTCATGGTTGGATAAGCCCAAGTCAGCAAAAGCGAAAGAAAGAGAATATTTTTTAATCTAGGACAAAGCAGAAAGATAACGTGAAGTCAGCTCATCATAACCCCAAAAATCATTAAGAGAAGTACTCCATATGTGAAGAAATGGTACTATCTAAGATATGGGTATGCAAATAATCGCAAGATTGAAGTGGCTAAATTCTCACCAGAATAAATTTAAGAAAAAAGTGTGGTTATAATCAGCTTACTACTACAATAAGCATCACAAAGACGGACAGACTGGGAATAGGAACATTCCATGTATATGCGTTGCATGGTCATGATAAACTCATGATCAGCTAAGCTTGTCCTAATGGTGCGGCTCCATGATTTGTTTCTATTGCTGGACATCAAGCTAGTCATCCATATCACGATAAATTAAGAGTTTGCAGGTTACCTTCAATATGAGCAGACTTTTGGCCTATCAGCTGTTGCCAACTCACGTTTCTGTAAGAAAAATGCACTGTTTTCAACTGGGATAAAGAAAAGATGCATAGCTCTTAGCATCTTCTTGCCAAATCAAAAAACAAAGCCGCCTTGCCAAGTCAAAGATACATGGAATATATGCAACTCATATAAACAAAGAGCTGCAACTGTATTTTGTAATGCAACTAGGTGAAAGTATGCAAGTCCTACTGGCTGTCTGCCCAGCTGTTCACGAGAAATGCAATTTCTTAAAACTAGCACGTGTAATAAATATTTTTGAAGAATATCACATGTTAATACTTGCAGGAAAAATCCATAACATCCCTTTTACAGAAGATTACCATCCTTTTTTTCATTTAAAGAAAGGTGAACTTACCCTGAACCATAGCTACAGATGAATTCACCTGGCGTATCCTGGTGCCACCTATACCTATAACAATTCCAAAACCATTTTAGAAAACCTCTTCCATGAAAACCAAGATGGATTTTGCTTACATAGGTGGTAACTTGAATGCCCTTGTTTGAAGAAGCTTCTAACCGCTGCAGCTACTCTCATAATCTCCAACCCCAAACAGTCTAGATAAGTCCAAATTTCAAGACTTAGTAACTACAGAATCCAGAAAACAAACTAGTAACCTCCTAACTTCTCCAGATTCTCACCATTTACTTCTTAGCCTAGATGGCGCTATCTTGTGCCTTTTCCATCTCCCATGGTCCTAATGTGACAACCACAGTTAAGCTCACACGGTGCATTGCTTCCGTCTCTACCAGTGGTATTTCCTCAACCTCTCTTCTAGCACCACCAACACAGATTCACCACTGCTGACATCGTCTCTTTATCTCCTTCCATCACAAAATCCTTTCTCTCTTGCCCCCTTCTCAGCTTCCCCATTCCTGAGAAGCGCCGCCATTGTGTTACACACGTTGTCGACAACCGCCATAGAGCACTCCATTCAAATTCACTTGCATCAGGAGACATTCCTTGCCTCCATGCTCCTTTTCCCCCAAACCTCCTTAATTTTCTCCATGGCCGAAGAACACTGGCCTTCACCATCCTCCCCTACCCGACCATTTCGCTTACTAGAAGGCTAGACCTGTTCTTGTCTGCCAACATCCTCATCATTTTCGCCTCTTCAACAATTTCAAAAGTTGGTTGATGTATTTTTAAACGGTACAAAAGTTTTCGGTGAAAAACTTACTAGAGCATGCAAAAATGAACCTTTTCCTTTTCAGTTTGTCCCATAACTCATTTTCAATTATTAGCACCTCCAACAAAGGAGAATGTACTGTCCATAATGTTCCTTACAATTACTAGTGCATCTGCCCTCGCTATTTCATGGTTTTTTAGGTAAACTTCTACACATGGGCAAAAAAATCATCAATTGTGCATCAATTTGACTCACATTTTGCCACAGCAAGCTATCAATTTGCACTAGATAGTATGCTATAACATTAATTTGAGAATTCTGAGGCTAGTAATTTGCTGTTACTTGTATCTTCAGATACCAAGAACTATCAATACCATGCTAGACACAAGTTGTGAGCAGGTCCACCAAATAGCAATGCTAGCAGAAGTAAAACCACCAATGACATACTTCACGAGAGCAGCAGTCTGACCTTAAGCACCTATCTATGTCAAACAATAAAAAAGATCATGCACCATGAAATTGTAAATCAAGCACCCGCAAATTGTCAACCATATTGATTATAAATGAGTTGACATTTTTCATTTTGCGGCATATGCTGCAACATTGTTTTGAGCAAATTCTTGTCTTACTAGTATACACGGCGAATATAAATCATCTTATAAAAGAAACACGCCAGACTTGACATTATGTGCATAAAATATAAGTTGACTGCTTGGACTTCTCTTATACTGAACAAATTATCCTTTATTGAAAGGGAAGATAAGAAGATGTTATTTCCTGGCCACTTAGACAATGATCACTTTATTTCTCTACGAACATATGTTCATTGCAAAGACCAGCCAGAATTACACAGCACCCAAGAGGCCAGCCTAGCTGGAGAATTTGAGACGGCCACAGCATTTTTTATTATTATATAGAGCGATACATATACATAATAATCTACGCTTCCCTGACAGAACAGAAAGAAAAGACTAGAAGGCTACAAAACACTGCCAACTCAACTAGATACAAAATGCACAGATCAAGAAGGAAAATCTTCTATAGAGGGCAAAGAGATTGTACAGTGTGGTATTGGAGGATCTCTGCATATAGCAGGCTATATTTATCAACCTGATGGTCTTTGGTAGACATGCTTTGTTCTAGGGTCAATTATTATGCCCTTTCCACCATTCACTTCGAGATCATGCCTGCAGAGTTTAATTGTCAGAATGTCAGTATTGACCCTAGTTTATAGCAGACCTCTTAAAATTCTAGAAACATTACATACTGGAAGACAAAATCAGGAATTGTCAGTTGTTCACGTGGTACGTATCTGAACAGCTGCACAAGTCTGTCGACATAGATAACTTTCTTCCAGACCTAATTGAGACAAAAAGGAAGATGCTAAAATTAGAAAAAGAAATGTGTCAAAGAATTGGGGAGGAAACGAGCGAGATGGCTGCAATAGCAAGTACCTCCCCATCAACGAAAAGCTGCAAAGCCAATATAGCTGTTCTCAATCCCAAAGTTGGGTGAAGTACATATATAGCCTGTGGAGTGCAATAACAACACCAGTTCATATTTCTTTTCCTAAATGAACAATCAGAACCACACAGTGTGATCATATGAGATACCGACATGAAGATTGCGCTGATGCTTCCGACCTAATATTTGTTGCAACCGCTTCATGAATCCTAAATCTGGTCGCCTGCAAAATCAATTAAAACAGCTCGTGTTACATGCACCAAGTTTTAGAAAGGATTGCAATGTCCTTCTCAACCTACTTATTCATGAATCTTACACTTGTAAAGATGCTGCTGAGTGGAAATAGACAATTGAGTAAGGCTTTTGAATCAATGGTTCAAACTCCTGCAAAGAAGGCAAATTTAATCCTGTCAGAATAAGCTGCCAAATTCAAATACACAAAGGCATTAACAGTGGTCTAGATAGGCTAACTTTTGGGCAACGAACTTAGCTAATCTATTATATAGTTCATTTGGGAATTCCTGCCATGATGCTTGAACCAGGCCCGCTTCAAAAAAGTTAGTGGGAAAAAACAAAACTGTTCCTTTCTATTGGAACTATAGATATTAGATGCTCTGTGGCTCTCTGGCACTACTGTATGGAACACACCTCATAAGTTCATAACAGACACTGTATATTGGTTCCTGCAAACTCATGATTTCAAAACAAGATGGATGGAGTACTAAACTTGGTGTTCCATCCAGTATGTCCTGAATATTGAGAAAATCCAGGTTGATTCATGGACAAAGTAAAAACCATCTATTTAACACAAGGCAGTAGGAAACTTGGATTATATACAAGTATTTATATTCCCTTCCTAAAAAAACTTCCAAGGTCCACCCCTCATTTAAGATCAACCCAAGGAATATGTTATCTCACTGTAAAAAAGTAATGCAACTAAGGAGAGTCTCATAAAATATGCTGCATCAATCTTTGGTATCTGCAATCTAGTGGAATTCCAATGCTCTTTGTAAAGGGGGGAAATTCTAAAGCTCTACAAAAAATAGAATCATCATCACAAGGTATAACGAATAGAAATGGTTGCATTGAAATTACTTGTTGAGAAAAAAACACATTAATAGATAGGAATCATCAGCTTGTGGTCAGGGTAGAACAAATGCTGAGAAACTCCATCGCTCTCATATGCACTGGAAATATGTAACTGACAGCTATCAGCTAATCTTTGGGAGTTCACAAATTCACTTCAGTTATGTCCGGAAAGGCAATCAGGCCTTCTGCATCCTATATTGTGCAAGTCGTGTATCTCAGTTAGATTGATAATTACCTTTACTACATATAGAATAAATCGCTCAAGATCCAAACAGCGAAGTAGAAAGTGAGCACCAACAACCACCATAACAGGACGCCCTTCACTATCAACTCCACCGCGGTAACTGTAATTGAGGGGGAAAAGGCAAATGATGTGAGGATAAAAGGTAAACTAAAATAAACAAGCAAACTAGGGAGAATCTTAGAAAAGAATTTAACTGAAAATGGTAATTTACATACATTATTTTCATCTCAGCAATCTCTGAGAGACTGAGAGAATTTGCTTTAGCAAGGTGTCATGAATGAAGTGAATAATCTTCAGCAGCAGATAATGGAGGACCACCAAGGTCGCCAAATCCAACCAATTTAGCCCAATTAAATCCCTTGTTTGCCTGAACAGACTTTTCCAACTGCTCCTTGCGTCGGAGATCTGGATCTTTAATTAGTGACATAAAGGCAGGATCCAAATATGAATCTAACTTGAAAGAATTCCTGTTTAGAGACTAGCTAAGATCAGATAAAACCCAATTGGGGGCCATAGGACAACTGAACATACAATGGGTATATAATGAAAAATGTGTCTTGAAGGAGATCAAATAGTAATCGAATCAAAATTTTGGCAAATGGTTGTCTCACCTACTACGTGTCAATCCAGAATCAGAAAGAGGAATATCTACTGGCGCAGGAGCTGCAGATTTGTTAATAGCAGACCCAGCAGGCAAAGGTTTTATTCGTATTTTCCGTTCATCTATTATTGTTTCACCATTCTCATCCCCAACATCAGCTGGAAGTTTCAATGAAGCAATCTCTTCCTCTTTCTTGTCCCGAGGGAAATATAGGGGAAGCAATCTGCAAAATGCAATGTTGTCAACCTTTATAAGAAATTTATCATATTTAGCTAGCATAAGTGGGTGTTAGTCTAAGTACCGCTTATATATCTCTGTATCAGATGATGTAGTAGTACAAAAGACAACAGCAGTTATTTTGCCTTTCTGCTTCTCCAGAAAACGTCTAACAGTTCCTGTTCACCATCATCCAAAAAAGTCGGGAATTAAAACCAGGAAAAGCTAAATGTGTAACAGATAATCATTCATAAAGAAAGAAACTACTGTCTCCACCAGTAAGGCAATCGCATAAGAGTAGTAGAAATAATCAAACAGCGAAAGATAACAAAAGGCAGAAGAAACTATTGATCAGATAACTCACTTATTGCAACATGAGCAGCCGGTTCACGAGGGTAATTTTTGGCTTCTGTATATATGCAACCCATTGCAATGCTAATCACATGAAAGGCAAAATAAAATACTTAGCTTTGATGGAATTACAACATATGCAATGTGAAATGTAGCATTCAGGAACTTCAAAACAACCCAAACCAAATATGCATTCAAATGGTGCTTTTAATATACCTTTCCAGACCATTCTCAATGAGAAGTTCCAAACAAGACCTGTAGCAGTGGCTAAGTGCATTCTCTGCAGCTGTGTGATACTTGACAGCATATTTAGGGCCCACAGTATGAATTACCTTCCTGCCAGACCATTCATAAGCATTATAGGTCAGTGAAGAGCATGTATATCAGTGTATCATCTCAAAACCATATCATGAAATAAACTAACATCCTCAGGTAGAAAACAAGTAGGTTTTAATCTGGTAAACATTGTCACTTTTTTTCACATTTCTTCAAATGAAATATCGTAGAGCTAAAGCTGCATTGCTCCAACAAATTACAGTCAACCTGCAATAGGGTTTTGAAGTAATGAAGTGGAATATATAGCACTTAAGAAGAAATCTAGTCTGAGATTCTGAGCACATTATGGACAATCTATGTGATGTGAAAGCTTTGAATGTAATAGCTCAGCCATTTGCAGACAAAACAGGAGGTTAGTATGATAAGAATATAACTGCCATAGAAACATCGCAATATGAATCAACCCATGAAACACGCCATACAAACCTATTATTCCTTTTGATATTTATTTAAGAAAGTACAAATCATTAACAGCAGAAGAACATATGTTTGTGTTATATTCAAAGAACAGGTTTACAATGATGAATGATCATGTGTGCTTCTCTTATTTAGATAATAATGTTCACAGATCTAATGGGATTCAGGACCCTGTGTTTAGCAATGCATGCAGATAACATAGTGATTTGGGTATATTGTGAGATATTATCATGATTCAAGAGTTCCATGCCATTATCCTCACTTTTTTTTTGAAAATAAAAAATGCTAATACTGTAAATACATATGCACCACACATTAGAAAGCGACCGTACAAACAAAATCAGATCACCAACCGAGCAGGCAGATCATATGCATTGGTCATCTTAGCCATCCCAGTCCGGCAACCACCCTGTAATCATCGACAAAAATAAAATCCTCATATGAATTGCAACCCAAATAATCCAATTGACCCCCAAAACAGCAACCCCAAAATCAAACCGCACCAGGGTGGTGCACTCCTCGGCGAGCCCTGGCCCAGCCGCTGCATGCAGCCCTGGACTACTATGCGCCTCGTCCAAGTTCTACACCAACCACAAAACTTATCATATCAACTGTAACATTAGCAGCACGCCAACACCACGAGGCTAGCAGCTAAGCGAATTCCGACCTCATTTGTCGAATTGACAACGGCATCGACCTCAAGGTTCCACGGGTGGCCGCGCCAGAGACAGATCTTCGAGTTGATCTCGTGGTCGACGGGGAACCGCGACGCGCCACGGCCCCCGGCCCCAGCGGCCGCGCCGTCGCCGATGAGCGGGTCGGCGAACGAGAGGAACGACGAGGCGGGGGTCTCGTCGGATCCGGCGGCGGTGGGGGATGAGGAGGGGGAGAGGCGCTGGTCGGCGTCGCTCCACCGCGGCACCTGGTCGAGCGTCACGGCCGGCTCCACCCCGCCCACGCCCGCCGCCGCCGCCACCGAGGAGGCCGAGGCCGAGGCCGACGCGGCCGTCGGCGAGCGCTGCTGCATGGCGACCGGATCAGAGCCGCGAGCGCGAGGGCATGGGCGGCGATAGGTGCGGGTTCGCGCGCGCGCGCGAAGTGAGAGAGAGCGGCCAAGCGACGGGAGGAGGGTGACTGGTGCGAGAGAAGTTTGGGATGGTGGGATGGGAGGAGGCGGAGCCGCAGCCGCTCAGCCGCGGAGGAGAGGGCGTGTGTTCTTTTCTTCTCTTTGTTAATTTCTATTTTTTATTATTTAATTAATTCTCACGTAGTCTCCCCGTCCAAAAAAAACCAACCTAAACATGATGAAATAGCATTGTGCCTTTTTTTTAACAGAGGAAATACATATGTTGTCGAATTGCTTAACGATATACTTCTTTCATTTAATATTTTCCTTTGTTAAAGTATTTTAAGTTTGATTAAGTTTAAGTAAAAATTTGTAACATTATAACATTAAATAAATTTTATTAAATTTAATATCAAATATATTTTAATTATATGTTTGTTTTGTATTAAAAATAGTAGTATGTTTTTATACAAACTTAATCAAATTTTAAAAATGTTTGACTAAGAAAAATATCAAACGACTTACTGTATAAAATGGACGAAGTACTTTAAAGAATTATATAATTATATGTAATACTCCCTCTATCCTATAATATAAGAGATTATTCTCTTTTAGGTAAGTTTAAGGATAGCAATAAAATACTAGAACGCCCATATTAAATGTTATTTGCTTATAGGTGAGTGGGTAGGGGGTTGCTAGCTGGCGCGTGTGCACCAGCAGCGAGCACTTCCCCTTCCCTTCCCTCCCTACACACGCCAGTAGCGAACACTTCCCCTTCCATTCCCTCTCTATAACTACTTTATATTAGTTAACACTTAACTCTAATAACAAGTAATTATGAAGATTTTCAAGATTTTTTTTGTGATATTTTTTTACTAATAGATTGAAATTTTTTAAGTCAGATTTGAAAACTTTTGATTTAAGATTTAAATTTTAAAGTCAAATTTTAAAAACTTTCAACTCGAGATTTGAAAACTTTCAACTCAGATTCAAAAACTTTCAAGTCTAGATTTGAAAATTTTAAAACTTTCAACTTGATATTTGAAAATTTTCAACTCAAGATTTGAAAACTTTCAACTCGAGATTCGAAAACTTTAAGTCCAGATTTGAAATATTTGAAAACTTTCAACTTGATATTTGAAAATTTTCAACTCAGATTCGAAAACTTTCAAGTCTAGATTTGAAAAAATTTAAAAACTTTCAACTCGAGATTTAAAAACTTTCAACTCAAGATTTGAAAATCAAAGAAAAAAAGAGAGCGAAAAAAAGAAAAGAGAAGAAGCAGCGCGAGAAAAAAAAGATTCACGCGCGGCCCGCGCGCGCGAATTAGAATTCTCGAGTGGGTAGTTGGGGTTAAAATAGGTAAAAATTTGAATTGGAGTTAATGGATATGACCAAAATCTCTTATATTATAGGACAGCTACAAGGGACAAATCCCTTAGGCCTTGTTTGGCTAATGGGATTGGGAAATGATTTCCCACCCATCAAAAGACATCTTTAAATCCTAAACATCCATTCTCCCTCTTCCATTTAATCCTAACCCTTTCTTTATTTCCCAATCCCAATCCCACCCCTCATTTCCCATTATCCAAACACACAATTATATCGTGGGATGAAGGGAGTAATTATACAATCATACTATTTTTTTTATTTTTATCTAACACTTAATTATTCATATACTGGTTCGCCGTTCCATTTAAAAAAAATAGTTCTCGATCCCTTTAGAACAACTCAGCATAAGCTTTGGATCACTTTAAAAATTTCCCCAATAATGGCTTCAGTTCTGCAGAAACTCCTGTGGACGAAGGACGAGAATGTTCGTGCAGAATTAACCCATTGACACGTGGGTCCATTGTAGCATGGTCCACCGCGTCAGCGTGCGCAACTCATCATGAGTTGGGTGCATATGATATCGGCGTGCAGACGAGAAGCTAGCTGGATTAGCATGGGTGGGCTCCACCAGCCAAAACAGAATGTTTGGGGATGGGCTGCTGATAGCTATTTGTGGGCCTGGACTACCTCGCCTTCTGGCCCAATGTTAGAGCTGCCCAGCCCAATTATCTCTAGGGTTACAGGCTAGCACGGCCCAGATGGTTAGTACTACTACTATAGTACTATTCCTAGCACGGATGCTAAATTCTCAACAAAAAAAAAGTGGCCCTTTTCTAGATTTATGAATTTGGGGACTTGGGATCACATCATGCACTGTACACTAAACACATACCACATGTATAAAGATGTAAAGAATGACGATATCGGCCCTGATTGTTAAATGAAGTCAAATTTAGAAGATTTTAAAATCAAAACATGACTTATAAAAATGAATGGAGGGAATAACTATGATTAGTTGAGATACGGCTGATAAGTCATATCACTTAAAAAAATTAAGGATAAAACTTTTTATATTTTAATTTTGTTGTGTAAAAGCTAATGCTCTAATATGCTATGATGGAAAAAAACTAAAATCAACTCTAAAATTCATTTTAAAAAATAAATTTGTTTGCGGCTGATAGCCGAACAGGTGGATGGTGAGAGGCTACGTATTGCATTGTCACTGATGGTCAATATTTAAGATCCTTTAATGCCATGTGAAATGCATGGATCAATGTATGTCACAGATTATAGAAACGATGGATAGATATATGCTAAAATGTGGCGAAAATGATGTGGGCATAATGGGTTTATGTGCTTGTAAATTATAATATTGTATGATGCATTATGGTTTCATACGATTTAAGATACTTCAAAGTAATAATTTATAGCGGATTTATGGCGTGTTGTATTTGTATACTGAGCTTTTGGAGCTGATGGGTTTCAACTATATAAAGAAGTCACATGACCTCTTATATTTTCGCTTATGTTTATGCTTATCAGCCAAATTTTGAAAATTCAACTTTAATTTTGAAGCTGATTTTAAGGGTTTTTAATCAAAGTTTATTTTACAGAATTTGCTTTTAGATCGTTAAGAACACGTATATAAAAATTTTATTCACAAATTACTTTTCATTTGTAAATATGTTGTTTCGCTTATTCCACGAAACAACGGGAGCATATATATTCTTGTTCATCAACACCAAGTTCATCTTCAATTGATTTAAAATCCTGATAAATCCTTCTTCGTAACCATGGACCCCGGATCATTCTTCAATGGATTTAAAATCCCGTTGAAAATCCCGTTGAAAGCAATTAACACCAAGTTCTCCTTTCGTGGATTTAAAATTGAATTAAATCACTCCTCCCATGTTATATTTGGCATAGCTCCATATCCAAAATCTTTTAAGCTGAATCCATAAATATGAATCCGCATTACGTTTAATAACATTTGGATGATTAATTGACTACATTTTAAATAAAATAAAAAATTTTAAACCATCATAAAAATTCAAATGCATTGTCAATGTATGTCGGTGACATGGGACCGGGGGTATCGTGACTAGAGGCTTGGGTAGCCGCGATCACCCACGTGGCCCGACCCCCTCGGGGGGGTCGGGCCCGAGGGTGACGTGGCCGCCCCTCCCTCTGTCTCCCCGAGGGGTCGGGCCGCTCCCGTTTCGGCCCCGAGGGCTGGGGCGCCCCGACCCCCTGTGGTGTTGGCGCCACGTGTGTGGGTTAGGTGAGCACAGCGACGCTCACCTAACCGCATTTATAGCGGGTCAGACGAACGCGCCACGCCGCATTCAATGCGGCGTGGCGCATGCTTATCCGGTCCGTGACCAGTCGCGGTATGTGACCGGTCACAGACCGGTCAGATCGCGGATTAGGTGGCAACAGGCGGCCTGTCGCACGCCTCGCCCCGTCCCGTCGGAATGATGAGAGCTTCCTGGCTCTCGTCTCTAGCCGGAGCTGGCGTGCTGACTCCTGGAGTTGGTATGTCCGTCCCGGTCAGATCCATTCTAGGCTTCAGCGCAAGCATAGCAAGAAAGTCACTGGCCATTGAATGAAGGTTGAAACGGGCGTCCACCGGGAGAGCTGACGAGCGGAGCAGAAGGCGTGTGCTGTGCTTGTCAGAGGTCACTTCCGGCTGTAGACTAGCCCTCATTGTAAAAAGAATGTTTCTTTTCTTAGGCAGCTTAAGGCCCATGTGGTGACCCCTGACCAGATAAAAAGGAGGCCCAGGCCTAGGAGAGGAGGGAGAGAGAAAAAGGAGGAAGGGGGGAGTGATTTCTAGAGCCTGAACCCTCTCTGGCTCTCCGGCTCTCTGTATTTCTTCACGCACAGATCCACCAGAACACAGGAGTAGGGTATTACGCTTCTCAGCGGCCCGAACCTGTCTACGTCGCCCGTGTCTTGTGCGCTTCCTCTCTCACTGACGTTCCTCAGATCGAGGGCGAAGAACCTCACTTAGCGCCCCCGGCCGAACCGGCAAAGGGGGGCCTGCGCGGTCTCCCGGTAAGGAGCCCCACGCTCCGTCAATGTATGTTCTGGAGCTAACATAGCTCAATCATTGACACACACACAAAAAAAGCTCTTATTAGGTTAATTTAAAATTATAATAAATGTTATTTTCTTTAAGAAACTAGTCAATTCTACACACAAGCAGATAAACACAGAGCTGCAGAGCACACAAAATACGAGCGAGTGGAAGCTTTATTTCTTTTGGATTTGATTACAAGCTACAAAAGGAGGTGCGAGGTGCTCGAGGGAGCTCTATCTCACTTTGGACCTTCAGGGTCCTATTTATAGACGGAGGAAGCTTCTGGCTTCTACTGCAAGATAACTTACGTCGTAAGCCGGCTTCTCTCCTAAGCTGGCTTTCGACGCAAGTTTTCTTTTGTAGTAAGCTTTCCATTCATATTTTAATTCGTCTTATAATAAAAATAGGTTTCATAACACTTTTCTAATTTATTGACACCGTATTCTTTCTGTTGTTGAATGTTACTTGTATAAGACAGCGGTGGTATTTGCGGTCTTGCGGAGGCATACGAGAGAAGGGCGGTTAGTTTTGCGGGCAAAAACTAACCGCAGTCCCTATCCACGACAAGCGCAGAAAGCAAAACTCACCCCCCGGCCCCCACCCTGAGCCTTGAGACGCGAGCCCACGGGCCGACGACCGCGCGCAACCACAGCCACCGCCCACAAACTCCAGTACACACCGCCCGCATCCCCCCCCATTCCCCTCATACCCACACCCGCGACGCGATTCCCCCGCACACCGTCTTCGCAATCTCCTTTGGTCGGCTGCCCAATCCTCCCTTCCCTTCCTCTCCTCAAACCCCCCCAACCCAAATGCTCCCCTCCGCTCCCCGTCCCCGCCTCCCAAAACCCTAGCCCTCTCGCCGCGCGCTCCCCCCCTGATGCCGCCCCAGCCTCCGCCGGCGGCGTCGGCGTCGGCCAGTGCCCCGGATCCCGCCGTCCCGGCTTGGCTCAGGGGGCTCCCCCGCGCGCCCGAGTACCGCCCGACGGAGTCCGAGTTCGCCGACCCCATCGCCTTCCTCTCCCGCGTGGAGCGCGAGGCCGCCGCCTACGGCATCTGCAAGGTCATCCCGCCCCACCCGCGCCCTTCCCGCCGCTTCGTCTTCGCCCACCTCAACCGCTCCCTCGTCTCCTCCTGCGACGCCCCCGCGCCCTCTCCCGCCGCCGCCTCCGACTCGTCCATTCCTCCATCCTCCTCCTCGCCGCCGCCGGTCTCCGCCGCGGTGTTCACGACACGGCACCAGGAGCTCGGCAACCCGCGGCGTGGACGCCCGACGCCGCAGGTGCTTAAGCAGGTGTGGCAGAGTGGGGAGCGGTACACGCTCGACCAGTTTGAGTCCAAGTCCCGCGCCTTCTCAAAGACGCACCTCGCTGGACTCCACGAACCGACTGCGCTCGCGGTGGAATCACTCTTCTGGAAGGCGTCGGCGGACCGTCCTATCTATATTGAGTACGCCAATGATGTCCCTGGCTCTGGGTTTGCTGCACCCGTGCAGTTGCAACGCAAGAAGAAGCAGAAAAGAGAGACTGCCCCGATGGACGAATGGGAGAAGAGTTCAGGCTGGAGGCTGTCAAATAGCCCATGGAACCTGCAAGCAATTGCGCGGGCTCCTGGTTCGCTCACACGGTTTATGCCTGACGATGTTCCTGGGGTGACTTCTCCAATGGTTTACATTGGCATGCTGTTCAGCTGGTTTGCGTGGCATGTGGAGGATCATGATCTGCATAGTCTCAACTTCCTCCACACTGGCGCACCTAAGACGTGGTATGCGGTTCCTGGTGATAGGGCTGTTGAGCTTGAGGAAGTTATCCGTGTACATGGCTATGGAGGCAACACTGATCGGATCGGTATTTGTCTTATATTGTGTTTCTTTATCCAGATCTTGTGCTCACGCGATGGTGCGAATGATATGAGTTCTGGTTGGTTTCTGCAGCGTCACTAGCAGTGCTTGGTGAGAAAACAACACTAATGTCCCCAGAGGTCCTTATAGACAATGGTGTGCCCTGCTGTAGGTACAAGTTCTGAAACCGTCAGCAATCAATACACCAATCTTAATTAATTTATGTGTTGACATGCATTGTATTTCAGATTGGTGCAATATCCTGGTGAGTTTGTGGTGACATTCCCAAGGGCTTACCATGTCGGGTTTAGCCATGGTGGGTTAAATCATACATATTTTGAACTCACAATACTTGTTATTTGATTCATCAGTATGTGCTAGTTGTTAAATCATCTGAACCTTGTATGCTTTAATTTAATTTCTTTATGGTATTGTCAATGAACACAAATCTTTTACAATACACAGTGCATGTGGCTGCATAGATCTAGGCATGAAGTGCAGTTGTCGATGTGATGGAGCCGTGGTAGTAATACACACTCAGTTATAATATAACCAATATTTGCTACTGTTTTGTCTTGTCATGAATCATAATTCAAGATAATAAACTAGGTTATTCAGATGATACTAATGGGTAATGGCAAAACAAATTACTCTTTCATACTTGTTTCCTGAAGCAAGATTATGGTGATCCTTTTACCGTTGTCTTAACTAGTTTGGTGAGTTTGATTTTTTTCAACTTCATACTAATTTTTTGAAGAATTCAAGCTTCTTCGTATTAACCTATTTGCGTTCATAGTTTTATGGAACACTTGAGATCCTCTTAAGGATCTCACTTTATATCTGAGAGTCAACCTATCTATGAGATTCATTTACTTTGTGGAACCAAAAGAAACAATTTGTAGATTGTGGTATGTTGTAGAAACTGAATATCCAATGCAGTCAGCAGCATGTCATGTTCAGTAGATTCCTTATTTTATTTTGTTGCTATGCATGCTATCGGCAACTCTAATGTTCGTGTAATATAATACAGGATTCAATTGTGGAGAAGCTGCCAATTTTGCGACTCCCCAATGGTTGAAGTTTGCTAAAGAGGCTGCAGTTCGAAGGGCTGTGATGAATTATCTTCCAATGCTCTCCCATCAACAACTATTGTACTTGCTAGCAGTTTCATTTATATCCAGGTTTTTTTTTCTTTTTCTTTTTGGAGTTTGGTTTTGTGCTGTCCAAAGTGTCTTTTTAGTTTTTGCACCTCATTAATAGGTTGATGAAACAAAATATATTACCTTTGTCCTCCAACAAACCAAATGCTACAGCTAGTGGGTAGGGGTTAGATGCTTGTTAGGTCTGCCATACAGAAGGATTACGCATAACCGCAAAGGTGAAGTTGTCATGGTGCTCCTGGGAGACGCCGCATTACAGGATCACCACAATGCTAGGTGTAAGCTAGACTTCAACTAAATCACATTATATTCCAAGTATATCAGATGGAAATATAAACGGCAAATGGAAAATGTAGCGCATAAAACCCACTCAAGCCGCTACACCCACCCGCTACCCAGTCCATGAGCCCATTTCTCCACCCTCTCCCTCATCCCCTCCCCTAAGCTGTACTCTCTCTCCTCTCCTCTCTTAAGTCACCTTGGATTCTAGATTGCCCAACTCTATATGGGAAGCTAAGGCTTCTAGAGTCCCTAGGGAATAGGAAATTTGCATTCATAGTTTCCATATGTATTTTTTGTGCACAACAGTTTTGATGATAAGTTGTATATGTTTTTTTACCTTCATACATATATTTTGCATAAGTTGTTTATGTTTTACATAAATTGGTATTTGCTAGCTTGCCGCTTTACATTTTGAATCTGGCAATGGTTTACGTTATTTGTAGCATAGTGCTCTCTGGATTATAGTAGATGGGACACCATGATTGAAGGTTACTCTCTGGGATAGTTATCCAATGTAGTAAGAACTCATAAAGGGTTTTAGATGTATCATATATGTGAACAAGTGTTTGCGAAGGTTCAGGCTCTAGCTGGGAAACAGATCAGTGCTTAGCACCTAATTTACCCTAAGGTGGACCTAGGAGGGTCTAGGGTGGCTGCCTAGGAGGGAAGATGGCTTTGATATATATATTAAAACTGACCATTCTAGATGTTACCAGAATAAGTTACAACTGACTATGGCTGTGTTCGGCACCCCTTCTTCCCAACCCATCTCCCTTGTTTTCCGTGCGCACGCTTTTCAAACTGCTAAACGGTGCGTTTTTTGCAAAAAGTTTCTATATGAAAGTTGCTTTAAAAAAAATCAAATTAATCCATTTTTGAAAAAAAAGCTAATACTTAATTAATCACGCGCTAATGGATCGCTCCGTTTTCCGTGAGCACTGTTCTTTTGGGAACAGTGCCGAACACAGCCTATATCTTCGGACATGGAAATCTGAAATGATAAACAATTGAAACAACAGAAGAAGCCAAAAGGTCCAAAATATATGCTTTATCGAAACAAAAGAAATGGAAGTAAGTGCTGATGATTACATCCCTATGGATTCTGCCACTGTAACAATTCCATGTTTGTTGGAAGCCATCAATATTCACTCCCCAAAGAGAAGCTAACAAGCAGAATGTTGGCTGTCTGCATCCACACAAATTACTTGCCTTTTTTATCCATTGTTCATTTTGTTTTGAAAGCTTCTATTGTTCATTTGTTGCTCACATGATTGCCTTGTGTTTTGGAATTTCATTGATTATTCGAAGTGTTTAATATTGAAGCACTCATTTGATTGTATATTTTAATCATTACCTCTAATGCTTTCTGTGCCCATTTATATTAACAAGTATGCTAAATCATTATCATAGCACACACTTATGAGTCTGCTGGATTCATTTTATTTTCAGGAACCCTAGAGAACTACTGTCTGGAATCCGAACTTCTCGTCTAAGAGATCGTAAAAAAGAAGACCGAGAACTGTTGGTCAAACAGGAATTCTTGCAGGATATGATTAGTGAAAATGAACTTATATGTTCATTTCTTGGAAAAAAATCGGTTGATAATGTTGTTCTATGGGAGCCTGACTTGCTGCCATCGCTTACCGCTCTACACCCCTGCTCGTCTTGCTCAAAAGCTCCTGAAAAGAAGGGTGAAGATGGTCCCAGAATTGGATCTACCCAATCCAGCTCAAAAGATGACAGCTCATCTGATGGTACTGCATGTATGACTGGGACACAATCTAAAGGCTTGTCTATGGATAGCAAACAAGCTCCTGAGGGAGAAAAGCTTGATACCGATGACGGAGATGACCTGCCTTTTGATTTGAGCATTGATTCTGGTTCATTGACATGTGTTGCATGTGGGATTCTTGGCTATCCATTTATGGCGATTTTGCAACCTTCCAGAAAAGCACTGGAAGAAATTTCCCTTGTTGATAAGGAAAGATATAAACTGAGTTGTGAAAAAGAGATTTGTTCAAATGTGCTTCCGTGCTCTCCTAATGATGGTAGCTCCGGTATGCCTTTATTATCTTTGAAGATTTTGTGTTTTAGTTCCTTATTTATAAATGTAGGAAATAAAGTGAATTTGTATGATGGTTGTAGATCTTTTTTTTTCATAAGACCTAGATATTCTTCAAGTGTCTTGTTTTTCTATGTCCAATAAATTAATTGCGTTCCCAGTGTGTGTACTTCACGTTGCTGTTGTTCTAGTGGCCTTCAGTGAGCTACAGTGAGGCAGATTCTTTTGTTATGATAAACCTCGGCAAGAGGGAACTGTTGTCATACACTTGAACATATATTTTATTGGAGGATAATGAATGTCGACTCCTTAGCAACGTATAATAATGCACACAAGGGTATTATGATCATTTGGACTCAAATCTGTAATCCTCTCAAATGTTTATGTTATGCCTGCAACTAGGTTTAGTACCATAATTTTTATTGTACAGTGTGCGTTGTTGCTTGATTACTACACAAGATTAATATAACTGTCTTTTTCGTCAATAAGTTAGAGATAGCCAGACTTTTGTCTAGCTGAGCTCTTGGTATTTGTATTACTGAAGTGCATGGGTTTCCATCCATCATCCTGAGCATCTTCTATGTTTCAACTTTAATGATTTGTTCTATTTTCTTTTCATGTACAAAAACTTGACAAATGTTTCTCCCCCATGTATCAGGATGCCCACTCATCGCCAATAGATCGTCCAGCCCTGTGGAAAATGCTAACCTCAGTCATCAGGATGTGAAGCCAATTAGAAGTGACATTTCTTTGATGGGAAAGGAGTTTAATGGAACCCTAGGGAAACATATTGGCACTTCCTGTTCTTGTAGCAGTGAAAATACCATTCATCCTTACGGTGACACAGAAACCCCTGAGAAGAAAATACCAAGTGATTGCCCTGGCTCAGAGTTGAGTAAACAATCAGGCAGAGGTGATGTTAATGTACCAGATGTCGAAGGTAGTGAGGAAACTATCAGCTGGAATACAGGCTGTGCATTTGCACGGCCTCGGATCTTTTGCTTACAACATGCCCTTGAGATTGAGGAGTTGCTTGCGAGCAAAGGTGGAGTTCATGCCCTCATCATATGCCATGCAGGTACGATTGATGCAGACTTCTGTTGTCACATTCAATGTAACTCCCGTAGATTGTATTAATCCTGCACACTGGATGTGGAATTTTATTTATTGTTTATTTGACATGTTTTTGTCAGCTGAAGTTAACTGAAAATAAGAGATATTAGCCGAGGGGATTTAAGTATTATGGGCCCTTTTGATTCCTTCCAAATATCTTGAACTTTTTAAATCATGATTGAAAATCAATGTAGTTGTTTTAACTGTGATTATTTGATTAATTTGTCCCCTGAATTCAGTGATAACCTTTTTCCCTCCATTATCTGCAGATTATGTCAAACTAAAAGCACTTGCAATATCAATAGCTGAGGAAATTGAGTTTCAGTTTGACTATAAAGATGTTGCACTAGCAAATGCGTCCAAGTCTAATTTGCATCTAATTAATATTTCAATTGATGATGAGGGATATGAGGAAGAGGGAACAGATTGGACATCACGGATGGGTCTAAACCTCAAACATAGTTCCAAGATTAGGAAAGAAACACCAGAGAGTCAAGAACAGCCTCCTTTATCATTTTGGGGATTATTTTCCAAGCCATCACCTATTTCAGTTGTTTCAAACTTGAAATGGCTTTGCAGGAAAGCACGGACTCCATATAAGGTCATTGGTTATGCTTCCAGCCCTGATGTTGTGGCAACTCCAGACAAAGTTAAGCCCGCAGTTACAAAAACTCAGATAGACACTTCTGGAAATGCTCATGAAAACATTGGAAGTGAACAAACTCTGCAACAAGATTGTGTCCTGCAAGAATCCAATGATGTAGCTGATATGTGCAAGCGTCCCAAGGTGAATGATCAGGATGGACATTCTCTTATTAATATTCCAATTGCTGTTGCTGAATATCCTATGATGCATCAAGTTTGTGAGCGTCCAGTAAGTGTGAGTGCATGTGATGACCCTATCTGTTCATTTGATTCCCAGGATTCACCCACAACTGTTGCAGTGTCAGCTGGCAAACCTACCAGAGAACAATGTGGTGCTGAATCAACTGAGTTGAGTACTGTAAAACAGTTCCTGGACAATGGGCTTATCGCTGAGGGAGGCAGCATGAACTTCATAAGTAATCATGAGCACTTAGAATCTGACAATGCAACTTCAGTGTGCAAAGATGAACAATTGCAAGTTCAACAAGATCAGTTGGCCATGGTACTTTGTAATAATCCCAACACAGAATTGGTTGCAGGAGAATTACATGGGGGGGCAGCATCATCAACCCTTGAAAATGAGGATAGCTGTGGTAATACGTCTTACTGTTCTGACACTGTATTAAAGAACAGCGAACCTGATACAGATGATCAACCTGAAACATGTGATCGTAGTGTTGTTCTTGTAACACCAAAGTCGAGCTGTGACCAGATGATTTCTAGCAGTGACAGAAGTTGCAGTCTGACCTTGGACTGCCCTGTCTCCACTGATGCTGCCTTTTCAAGCGAAAAGCTGTCTATGGCTCATGATTTGATGGGCAGTGAGTTGCAGGCAGTCCATAATTCAAAGGCTGAGGTTGTGGCCAGTTTGACTGATGTCAAGGGTGCTAAGCTCAATAGCATTCATACCACACAATTACCTCATGAATCTCCAAGCAGTGATTTCATCATTTCAGAAGGTGCGCAATCTGCTTCAACAACTGCAATTCCCAGAAAAAATGGAACATCCATGCACACAGAGTCAAATTCAATTGATATTTTACTTGGAGTTCTAGCCGATGAATCTAAGGTCTCTTCTGGAAAGGATGAGGTTGGCAAAGCTTCCTTGACATTGATGACACTGGCTGGCAATGACCAATCTGCAGATGATGTAACTCAGGATGAAGTTGCAGAGATCACTGATCCGTCGCATGGCTTCTGCTCATCAGACATAGTGTCTAGAAGCATTGGAAGTTCAAACAGAACAAATATCATATGTTATGCCAGACGCAAACACAAAAGAAAGAGCGGATCTGAGTTCAATATTAATAGTCCCCAAAGCTTGGGGAGCTTTGTCCGCTCTCCATGTGAAAGCTTGAGACCAAGGACTAGACCTGCGATTGTTGAAGACATGACAAACGAAACAAAAACTGCAGAAGCTTCAACTGCAAATAAGAGGAAGAAGGCAAAGGTGGAAGCATTTCAGTGTGACATAGAATTTTGTGACATGACATTTGAGACTAAAGCTGAACTTCGTGCTCACCAACGCAATATCTGCACCGACGAGTCTTGTGGCAAGCGCTTCAGCTCTCACAAATACCTGAAGCGTCATCAGTGTGTACACAGAGATGAGAGGCCATTCAAATGCCCCTGGGATGGTTGTCCAATGACTTTCAAGTGGTTGTGGGCGCAAACTGAGCATATCAGAGTCCATACAGGCGAGCGACCGTACAAGTGCTCGGCTCCTGACTGTGGCCAGAGTTTCAGATATGTCTCAGATTATAGTCGCCATAGAAAGAAGTTTAATCATTATTGATAGGTTGCCACTTTTCATGTTACTGATGAGTGATCACAGCTGGGGGCAAAAGCTCTAGCTGTTGAGGCCATGCTTGTTGTACCAGATCACGTATTTAACCACCTGACGTCTGATAGGCCTAGTGTTTGTTCCTTCGTTAGCAATGTGTTTAGTGTAGAAAGTAGAGAAATAGTTGGGGGTTAAGGATTGTACCCCCTGATGCATCAACGTAGATTTTCATAAGCAGCTGATCTTTCCCATTTACATGGGATCATTCATTCTTTCTTCAGTCCGTAAAGTTTATGAATACAGATCACTTGGATAACTTCCAAGTACCATTTGAAAAATGTGTTAATGTCTCATGGTCTCAGTGAGCACATTGCTGTCTAATAATAATATGGCTTACGATATGACAACTATTGTTGTTGGGCGATGGTATATGAACTGTGCTTTCATCCAGATGTTTTTATAGGTGTAACCGTGTAAGCCGGGAGGCGAAATTCAGCGTGTCCTTGATGAATTGAAGGGAAAATAACCAAAACAAAAAGAAACACACTTCTATTGTTGCAGTATTCTATTACACCTCGAAAGCCTGGACTAATCAACACGAACGGAGTAAAACTCGAACTAATCAATCATTTAACCATAGAGAGAACACTTATTAACAAACTTAGATGGTTCGCCCTCAAGAATGCTACTGCTTCTCCACTCAATCTTGGTCTATAATTTACGCGGAAGGCGTCTTCTTGGAGTCGTCATCCTTGGTTCTTCCCAAGAGGTCGCCGACATTTGGCTCGCCGAACATGGTGATGCCCTGGCGAGTACGGAGGGTGGCGTACTCGCCGGCGGCGCGGACCTTGTTCTTGAGGCAGACCCAGTGATCCCCCGCCGGCGCGTCCTTGAACTGCCGGAACAGGTCCTTGGATCTCTCCTTGAACGTCGCCTCCTCCCCCACCGTCCTCCGGTAGCACGCCATCGCCGCCGCCTCCTTCTCCGGCGCCTTCTGCGTCATCGCCTCCGCACCCTTCTCCTCCATCAAACTCTCTCCCCCCGAAGAATTTTGATGATGTTTTTTGGCTGTCGCTGTTGCTACGATGATTTGGGAGAGGTGGCGTCGTTTACATTTTATAGGGTAGTGTTTTTCTTGAGAAGGAAGCTGAGCAGCAAGGCGTGGAGAGGAAAAAGAGGCGGTAATAAGCCTTGGAGTAGGGAAGAAGAAAGAAGGCGAGCAAAGGCAAAGCCACCGTCCGATCACAATTACTAGTAGAATCATTAATCATACTATCATCTTCGGATTACGGAAGAAAAACTTTCTTTTCATGAAAGAAAGAAAATACCAATGGGCTGACCGGCGGGTGACCTCTTCTCATGATTTTTGCCTACTCGCAAAGTTTTCAGGATGATAGAATTGAATATTTCAATTTTATGATAGAAAACTTGCCATACAGGTTGGGGTCAAAATGTGTAGTAGATTATACAAGAACGTTTTGGCTTAAATGTCTTTGCTGATCAATTTTACATGCACCTTATACTGTCATCAATTGGATTTCGATGTTTGCAACCAATCTGACTAACTGGACGTCCGAACAAGAATACAGCTTGCATTAAGGCCTAGTTTAGTTCCCAAATTTTTTTCTCAAAAACATTACACCAAATCTTTGGACACATGTATGGAGCATTAAATATAGATTAAAAAACTAATTGCATAGTTAGGGGGGAAATCGCGAGACGAATCTTTTGAGTCTAATTAGTCCATGATTAGCCACAAGTGCTACAGTAACCCACATGTGCTAATGACGGATTAATTAGGCTCAAAAGATTTGTCTCGCGGTTTCCAGGCGAGTTATGAAATTAGTTTTTTTTATTTATGTCCGAAAATCCCTTCCGACATTCGGTTAAACATCCGATGTGACGTCCAAAAATTTTGTTTTAGCAAACTAAACAGGCCCTAAAGCCTCATGCAATATGCATCCGATTCAATCATCATTTAGATAATACAGTTTCGTCAAACAGTGGTTGATGGCTGTGGTCCCGACAAGAACAAAGATGAATGTATAAGCCAATCCAGCTAGAATGATACTGTTACTAGACAGTTTGCAGAAAGATCTTGCTTCAGAAACTCAATCTGGGAAGAAATTACATGTTCCTAGAAACAATGTAGATTCCAGTAATTGTAAAAAACTGTTCAACACATCCCAGGAGCGTTGTTTCAGCTCCTACTTCTGTTGTACATAGTTGCAGGTCTTAATCAAAATATCTGTGTTGTGGTCAGATGATGTGTAACATTTTAGTAGCATATGTGCCGCAGTCACATACATTTTCGTTCATCTTTAAACAACATGAATACATGACCCAGCTAAGACATTCATATACCATTGGAGCTTTTACTCCACTTCTTCCATTTTTCTTTTATATGTTTCCTTGCCAGGATGGAAGCATCAGGGATTCAGGACACAAATGAAAATAGCTTAGATGATAATGAATAAGACATGGGAGGCAAATTGCACTGAAGCCATGTGTTACTGAACTCTGATGAATCAACTTGGACACCCTATGAGAAATTTGATACCGAAATCAGTGTGGTTCAATCAAGAATTTGATACCGAAATGTTTCAGATCAAGTTCATGACATAATCAAGCTAAAACATCACTGTAATTCATAGCAATGAAGAACCGATCCAATGCACTGAATCACTATCAAGAAATACATCACCACAAGGAGCAGATAAGTGGAACCAAAATCCACTACCTTTATTATCACTAATCACTCACTCGAGATTGGACAGCCAAGAATCGACGTTTCCATCCATGGCCGATCTACTCCGCCGCCTTGCTGCCTCCCCCCTCCTCCTGGTTCCCCTTGTACTTGTCGAGTGCAGCGCCGGTGAGGCGGCAGATGCGCCACTGCGGGAGCACCTCGGCGCCCATCCCCTCGTAGAAGTCGATGGCGTTCTTGTTCCAGTCCAGCACGCACCACTCCACGCGCCCCATCCCGAGCTCGGCGGCCTTGCCGGCCACCGCGGACAGCATCATCCGGCCGAGCCCGCGGCGGCGCCACGGCGCGCGCACGAAGATGTCCTCCACGTACAGCCCGGGCTTGGAGAGGAAGGTGGAGTAGTTGGGGAAGCAGATCACGAAGCCCGCGGTGACGCGCCCGCCGCCGCGAGGGGAGGCGAAGGCGGCGGCCTCCGGGTCGGCGAGCGGGGACGCGGAGAGGTCGAGGCAGTGGGAGGCGATGGTGGAGGGGCCGGAGGCGGGGAGCGGGGACGGGGAGAGGTCGAGGATGAGGGCGGTGAAGGAGGTGAAGGGAGGGCGCGGCGGCGAGGGGAAGAGCGTGGAGGTGAGGAGCTCGTGGGTGGCGGCGAAGAGGTCGGTGAGGAGCTCGAACTCCGCCATCTGGTGGATGAGGGCGTGGATGTGGGGCACGTCGCTGGAGTCCGCCAGGCGGAGCTCCGCCCACACCTCGCCGGAGAATGTGGTGGCGTTCGCCGGCGTCGCCATCTTCGCTTGCGGGCTTGCGGCGGAGACGATAGGGAGATGTGGCGACTGGCAAATGGAGAGATTTCCCCCCCCCCCCCCCTTGTGTGACTTTTTATCTGGAGTAAATTTTGGAAAACACTATAGATTTTAAAGCACATTTCCTCAGTTTCATATTATACCTCGATTGAATTTTTTAATCATTTTTCTATAATTTAAGTTTGTATCAAAATACAATACTAAGAATTATAATACAAAACAAATATTGTATTAAAATATAGTCAACGTTAAATTTAATGAATGAAACTAACTTACTGTCGTAGATATTACTATTTTTCTCTATAAATTTAGTCAAACATATATAACTTTGACTAAGGAAAAAAATCTAACGATAATATAAAACGAAGGAGTACTATGTAATATAAAATCCCATATATTATGATTTATTTTAGAAAATACCAGATACTAAGAGAAAATGTTTTTGAAGAATCCCCATATTTATATCACATGCTCATAATTTCATTAATAGTTATAATATTTTAAGTATATATTTACATTATTAAGCTCAAAATACACATCCCTCCGGCATAATTCATTTTTTCCTTTACTATTATACAATTGAAAAAACACAATACAAATATATAACCGGTTGCTTATATATATAAAAACTAATGATACTACCAATAATCGAAAAAAATGATATGTACTCTGCAATATCTCGTATTATTATTATCTTATAATTATTATACATAAATATATTAAAAACAATAATATAAGCTTAAGATATTTTACCTTAAAATCTGAGATTCACTGAAAAAAATTATAATAATTTAGGTTTTATGTTAGATATGCCTCGAAATTTTTATGAATTTTACTCTTTTATATCTATTTTTCTATTTTCCTTTTTTTTTTGTCTAGTGTGTTGGCTTTTAAACCCCCCTTGACCGAAGTCGCACGCGCCGCCATAAACCCTAACCGCAGCGACGCACTCCACCTCCTCCTCCACCACGCCGCCGGCGGCCGGGCGCCATGGTGAAGGCCTACCTCCGGTACGAGCCGGCGATCTCCTTCGGCGTGGTCGCCTCCCCGGAGTCCAACGTCGCGTACGACCCCTCCGGCCGCCTCCTCCTCGCCGCCGCCCTCGACCGCTTCGCCGCCTGGGACCTCAAGCGCGGCCTCCCCTCCCTCTCCTTCGCCACCGCCGCCCCGTCCCCCTCCCTCGCCGTCTCCTGCCTCGCCACCTTCCCCTCCGCCGCCTCCGCCTCCGCCTCCTCGGTATCACACGCTGAACCTTCCTCCCTTTCCCCTTTTGCGGTTTAATCTCTCCGCATTTTGAGCTGGTTTCATCATCTCGTGCGCTGTGTTGGTTTGCTTCAGATTGCGAGTGGGCACGCCGATGGGAGCATCAGGCTATGGGACACGGAGACCGGCTCCTGTGAGGCGACCCTCCATGGCCACCGCTCTGCGGCTTCCGCCCTCGTATTCGGCCCCTCTGGCGCCATCATCGCCTCTGGCAGTAAGGACTGTGACATTATCCTTTGGGATGTAGTTGGACAGGCCGGCCTTTATCGACTCCGTGGCCACCGTGATCAGGTATACTACATTGTGCTTCTCTTCTCTGTCTCTATTGGGTAGCAAAGTTCAGTCATACTAATCTGGCGATTACTCGCTGTAGGTCACGGGTTTGGTGTTTCTGGATTCAGGGAAGAAACTAGTGAGCTGCTCCAAGGATAAGTTAATCCGGGTTTGGGACCTTGACACGCAGCACTGCCTTCAGATTGTTGGTGGCCACCGCAGTGAAATATGGTCAATTGATGTGGATCCCAGCGAGAGGTTTTTGGTGTCTGGGTCGGCCGATCAAGAGCTGCGGGTGTTTACGGTCCGGAAATCTGCTGAGGAGGGTGAGGATTGGAGCAAGTGGGATATGCTGAAGCTATTTGGTGAGATTCCAAGGCAAAGCAAGGAAAGGGTAGCGACTGTTAAGTTCAATAAGAACGGTAATCTTGTGGCATGCCAGGTGGCTGGGAAGACGGTGGATATTTATAGGGTTCTTGATGAAACAGAGGCAGCACGGAAGGCCAAGAGGAGGATGCACAGAAAGAAGGAGAAGGCTTTGGCCAAATCCATGGCTGCTGAAGGGAATGGTACTGTTATAGATCCTTTGTCGGCTCAAGACTTGCAGAATCCCACTCCTGTTGTCACCGATATATTTAAGCTTCTCCATGTTTTGCGGGTTAACAAGAAAATTTGCTCTGTCGCATTTTCTCCAAACAATCCACCAAAAGGTTGCCTTGCCACCTTGTCTCTATCTCTGAATAATAACATGCTTGAGACATACTCAGTGGATAATGAGAATGTGTCGAATATGTATTCCATTGAGATGCATGGACACCGTTCTGATATTAGGAGTCTTGCACTTAACTCAGAGGACAACCTCCTGATGTCAACAAGTCACAATGCTGTTAAGATATGGAATCCTAGTACTGGCGACTGTCTCCGGACAATTGATTCTGATTATGGATTGTGCAGTGCATTTGTTCCTGGAAATCGGTATGCCCTTGTAGGCACAAAGAGTGGTACTTTGGAGATTATAGATATTAATAGTGGAAGCTCTATTGAGGTTATAGAAGCTCATGCTGGTTCCATACGATCAATTGTACTCATTCCAAACGAGGATGGAACTGCTGGTGCATGGGGTTTTGTCACTGGAAGTGCTGATCATGATGTCAAGTTCTGGGAATACCAATTGATGCAGAAATCTGATAATGTGAGTCTTCTGTCTAATCCCTTGGCATCGTCTGTTCTCCTATGACTCTACAGAAGTGTCTGTTTTTCTTAACCAAGTCTCCATTATTTATATGCCAAGAAGAACAACAATTTATTGTGATGCATCTCTTAATGACATTCTTTTGGTTTATTTTGCGCCTGCAAGTTTACTAACCAGTTCTCCACATGAAGAGGCATGTTTTGCCAAATTTCTAAATGATGTTACACAGAAATATAAAAATTCAATGTCAAAGAATTTCTTGTGTTGCACTGTTTTTGATGTAATGAATGCGCAAGATCATCGATCTATCTGTTCTAGTTGAACTTTCAATGTTAATCTGATAAGCATCATAAATATCGTCTGCATAGGCTTTTAGAATAACTTTAGTGTTTTCTCATCTTGTTCCAGGACTCTAAGCAGCTGAGCGTAACAAATGTCAAAACTTTGAAAATGAATGACGATGTCCTTGCAGTAACCATCAGTCCAACTGGGAATCATATTGCTGTTGCTCTCTTGGATGGCGCAGTCAAGGTTTGTATGGTTTTGAACTTCTCTAGAAAATGAACTACATTCTTTTTAGTGGGGACCTTTATGTGAACACAAATTTGGGGCTTATTTTTATGATTATGTATTGTGTATATAGATAGAGAGCATGATTCTTTACTTCCTTGTCCATAAAATTTTTAGTTTTCTAATTTAGAACAGGACAAGCATAAGCAAATATCTATTTTCCGCCAGTCAGTTTATATGGGCAAAGCTATTATTGTTAATATTTTCTTGGCATCCTGCAAACTTGGTAACGCAGTAAGCACTTGTACTGAACTTTTTTTATATCTTGAGGTGCCAGTTGGCATCCTGCAAACATGGAAATAAAAATGCAATCTAGAATTAAGTTTTTGATTTCATCAATTTCCTCAACATCTTGTGCTGTGTGTTTGCAGGTCTTCACTATGGACTCACTGAAGTTTGCCCTTACCCTTTATGGCCACAAACTTCCAGTTCTCTGCATGGATATATCATCCGATGGAGTTCTAATAGTTACTGGTTCTGCAGACAAAAATTTGAAAATTTGGGGTATGGATTTTGGTGACTGCCATAAGTCTATATTTGCCCACACGGACAGGTTATTTCTTGCCCTTTTGTTTTCTTTGTGATTTGACTGTTGGCACAATCCTTACACCTTTTTCTCACGTGTTCAATTTGCAGTGTGATGGATGTTAAGTTTGTTTCTAAAACACATTATATGTTCAGTGTTGGGAAAGACCGCACTGTAAAGTACTGGGATGCTGATAAATTCGAGTTGTTGTTAACACTGGAAGGACACCATGCTGAAGTTTGGTGTCTTGCCATCAGCAGTCGTGGTGATTTTATTGTAACAGGTTCTCATGACCGCTCTATTCGGCGTTGGGATCGTACTGAAGAACAACTCTTCATTGAGGTATGCAGTGATTGTATTGTTTTAATGGAATCCTGTTATTGAATGTTTGCTATCTTTGCTTAGATTTTTCTTAGCTCTGAAACCCACAAAAATAAATGCAGGAAGAGCAAGAGAAAAGGTTGGAGGAAACTTTCGAGGCTGATTTAGATAGTGCTATGGACCACAAGTATGGGCAAAAAGATGGTGCTCCTGATGAGGGTTCTGTAGGTGTTCCTGGTAGGAAAACCAAAGAGACAGTAACTGCTGCTGATGCAATTATTGATGCACTTGACACTGCCGAGGAAGAAGTAAAACGCCTTGATCAGCACCAGGTATTAAAAAGTGAAACTAAAAACATAATGTGCAACCCTTGTTGCTATTCTGTTACTGCTGTTAAATGATGACTCACCAAGTGGAATATTTACTTCAGCTATACATTTATTATAATTTCAGGAAGGACAAAATAATGGGAATGGAACTACATTTCAACCCAATGTTATAATGCAAGGGCAGTCACCATCGGATTATGTTTTGAATGTAGTTTCAAATGTTCGTCCAAATGACTTGGAACAGGCTCTCCTTGTAAGTTTTTCCCTTATCTTCCCTAATGGATGACATCATTCCTTTAGTTTTGTCCTGTATTTCTCACAGAACGGCTTTCAGGGAAAAGCCACCATCAATTATTTGTTGTTATAGTAAATTACTAGCCAATATTTGTAGTGTGGTGATCCATTTTATGCATTGAGTATCATCTAATGTCCACGTATTCCACCGATGCCCCACTGACATGTGGGCCCAGGGCCATCTGGCAACCTTGCTGTGAGTGGTATATTGTAGATTTTTTTTAGGGAAGATATGGATGAAACTCACTGATATAGGGCTTGTTTGGTTTAGTGCCATACCAAAACATTGG